AGAGAGTAGCGGCGGCAGGGGAGGGGGGAAGTCAGAGAAGAGTGACGGGGGGTGGCGCGCAGTTGCAGACGCCGGCTGGATGAGCGACGGTGGGCGTTCTCCCACATCTTCTTCGGCTGGAGAAGAGAGAGAAGAAAAAAAAAACTAAAATCCGTTTTCAGAAAACGAAAACGTGAAAATGAAAACGTATTTTTTTCGTTTTCAGTTTTTCACAAAAAGACAAAAATATTTTTATTTTTGTTTTCTAACACAAACTTCACCAAACGCGTTTTTCATTTCTGTTTTCAATTTTTTACTTTAAAAAATGTGAAAAATAAAACAAAAACGGTACCAAAGGCTCTTCGTTTTCCTTAAACTAATTTACAACGTCTTTTTTAGTCCAACACCACGTCTAAAAGTCGAGCATATCAACGGCCGCTATGACTTCTAAGATTTCCTTAGCATGGTCATCACCTGACTCAAGATTGAGTTTTCAGAAATAATATATATATAATACGTGTTTTCTCGAACCTCATTGGTTGAAACCCCCGGACCCACAACACCAACATCCTCCCCAACCAATCAGATGCAACGAAACACGTAACCCATAATAACACAGTGGAAAAGAAAACCAAAAATTCAAATCAGAAGTCTTTAACCCAAAACTCAATCCATATAATAGTTTGCCGAATTTCCCAAACATATATATCAAATTCGGCACCAAAAATTCCTCATTAAAATCTCACGAACTTTATTTCTTTTTGATTTAAACACATAGTGTTAGAGATATATATATATAGAGAGAGAGAGAGAGAGAAGGAGATTAGAGACTTTTATGGCGAATTTGAAGGCAATTCTTGTAGTAGTTTCAGTATTATTGGCCTTCACATGTATACCAATTTCGGAGTGCACTAAGAAACCAGTAAGTGGGGCCCGAAAAGAAGACGTTCCGTACATCAAATGCCAGGTCTGCGAGAAGGTCGCAGCTCAACTGTACCACCAAGTTCAGAAGAAACAAGCTGAGATCGCACCCAAGAAGGTATTTTTATCATCTGGGTCTGCTTTAAAATTGCGTGCTTTGAAAAATGCGCGATTTTGAATGTGGGTTTTGGAATTTTGTTTTGTTTTGTTGGTAGATCTCGGAGTATCAGATAATTGAGATTGCGGAGAATGTTTGTAATCTGAAGAAGGCGGAAGCTGATTGGATTTTGCAGATTGATATTGTTGAACAAGGTGATAGATTGGAGGTGAGAAAATTGTAGTTTTAATCGGTTTAAAAAGAAAAAAAAAAACTTGGATTTTATCAGTCATTGTTATGATATGGATCTTATTGAGTGATCTGTCTTTGATAGCGTTATTACTTGGCATTGTCTTTGATAAAGCATTAATGCAGAATTGCAACTCTAATAGACATTAGAAGGATTTTTTTTTTTTTTTTGGTCTTCCTTGTCATTTTAAAGTTTTTGTTTATTTTCAGCTAGCGGAACAAGGCACAGAAGGACAATGCAATTCAGAATGCAAGACTATTGAGCGAGCTTGTCAGGAGGTCAGTCAGAGTTTGGCAATTTGTTTGTTTGGTTGAAATTTTCACATTTTGTTGCATACATGTTTTATATGCCTAACAAATCCGTTTCTTTACATTTCTAGTCACTTTTTCTCCTATTGGAAATGGAGTGCTTTTGGATTTCCCACTTTGTTTTTCTCTTTTATTGATTTTGATTGACCATAATCCTCTGCTTGCTACTATAGCAATTCGTCTCCTGAAACTTAGTTTGATTTTGGTTTTTTAAGACATTGCATTAGCCCCATTTCTATATGTGTTACCTAACTAAAACTCCACATGAAAATATTGCAGGTCATGGGATATTCTGATACTGATGTTGCTGAATACCTATATAAATCCCAACCCCAGATTGACTCATTGGTTAATTATCTCTGCAAAGACCTCACTAAAGCATGCAGTACCAAGCCTCCGCTGGTTCCAAAGGTAACTAATCTCTGTATTTGATATTACAACAATCTCTTCCACTTAAATCCAAGTTTATCATTCCCAGCCTTTGTAATTAGTGAGACATGGATCAATCTTGTCATTCTATCCTTATTTTTCAGTTATTTATTCTTTAGGCAAAACCGTGGTTGGTTCATGTTTAGTTTCAATATCAAGCTTTTTATATGTTTTGCATCTGTGGTTCAGAATAGGACTCCTGGAGAAGCTTTTGTGGCCAAGCCAGCTAAAGAGGCTGAAATGGAGAAGATAATGAAATCTATGGAGGTCATTACACTTTCATTCCATACTGCTTTTTGTACTAACAGCTACCTTAGGCTGAATCTCGGGCTAAATTCTGCTCCACTGTTTTTTCAGGGTATGCCAGGAGCTCCAGGTATGAAAATGTATTCAAGGGATGATTTGATGAACATGAAGAATTTTGGCGATGAAGATGCTGATGACGACGACGATGAAGATGAAGAAACAAGTTTTCCTTCAAAATTGGTAATTAGAAACTTCCAAAGTCTAAATAACTGCTATGTCAAGCATGTTTGTTAAACATTTGAAGAACTTTGCAGGGGACAGTTTTGAGAGAGAAAGAAAGTTCTAAGGATGATTGGAAACAGAAGATCACCAAAGGAATCAGAAAGACTGGAGACACATTGAAGAAGCACGCAGACAAAGTCTCGAATCACGTAAGGCAGTGGTGGAGAAGAATCAAAAAGACAAGTTCAAAGAAGAGCTCCAAGAAAGAGCTTTAGAACCACCCGGTTTACAATTTGTGGTCAGTTAAGGTTAATCACGTTTTCAAGTGACATATCAATATGGTTTTTGAGAGGAGGAATTTGAAAAGGAATCAAATGCCATCTTGTGAATTTTGGCCAATTTTTTTGTCATAGATGAGGGCTCTTTTAGTGTTAATTTACGTGGCAAAAGTAAATTGTTATCACGGTGAATTGGTGCAGTCGCAACTTGTCCTACAACAATGTTATAATTCACATTTTTAGAAGTATTTTAACACATAAATTTTCCGTTTTTAACAGTCATCAATGAACTTTTTTTCTAGCAATTTAGACCATTAATTTTAAAAATATTAACAACTAACTCTAGTTGTTAAAGGAGATTAATAATAACAATTTTTTAGCTTGTAGTTTCACTTTAATCCCTGAACATTCCTAAATAGCGTTCATAGTAACTTTTGCTGATCTAGCGTTCAGAGTAACTTACCCTCTTAACTTCAGAATTTTAGTAAGGTGGATTTGCCAATTAACTCATGAGCTCTCAAATGCCCCACACGCACGCGCGCGCGCGCGCGATTCAATTAGTCAAAAACGCACGCGCGCACCCCCACCCACACACACACACACACACACACACACACACACACACACACACACACACACACACACACACGATTCAATTAGTCAAAAACGATGACAAACATTTTCAACACGCACACACACACGCGATTCAATTAGTCAAAAACGATGACAAACACACACACACACACACGCACGCACGCACGCACGATTCAATTAGTCAAAAACGATGACAAACATTTTCAACACACACACACACACACACACACACACACGATTCAATTAGTAAAAACGATGACAAACATTTTCAAGGGCAATAATTTAGATGACAAATCAAATGGTAAAGAAATTCAAAAACTTTTGACATTACAAATTTCATGGTGCTCAAACTATAAGAAATGATGACAGAATTACAGACAAACTAGATTTTTAAGAAAAACCAAACAATATGCTGCCTCATTTCTGCATTCAAATACTATCTAGACTGGCAGCTTCCAAAAATGCGATGCAACAAACTCAGAAACATTCTTCAGTTGCTGCAACTTTAATAAGCTTCTTAAGCTTTCCCACTTCTTCTTACTCTTGTTTGCTTGGAGGCCTTGAGCTATGAAAAATAGCATTCCAAGATCAGCGCATCTTATAATGTTGAGTTCTTGAGACTGCACCCCTCCGGCCGTTGAACGAATATTTGAGTACTATATCAACGTCTCGGGGATTCTTTTTGTTTTTAGCCACAGTCATGCTTCCCACAATTGCCTCTCCTTGACAAATTGTAAGCACATCTTCCAGGTAGAGCACAGTTTGCTTCCAATGAGTAGCTCGTGATCTTGGCCCTGCATATGTTTCAATCTGTTAGAAACTAGTTGTGCATAACCTATGACACATTCCTTTCTATCTTTACCTTACCTACAAGATTACCAAAAGAAACTTTCTAAACAAAAAAGGAGTTAAAACAAAGTTATAACCTGTTGAGAAGCCTTGCAATTTATGACACTTGGTAAATGATACATCAAAGTAGGCTACAAGAGCATGAATGAAATCGTCACGCTCAGCCACAAGCTTAAAGGGAGCTGTGAAGGCATCGTCGCCAGGAGCCATCTTAGAGATATCCATTGTCTGAATGAAGAAAATTAACACATGAATCAGATATCCCAGGAGCTGTCTTAAAGGAGCCAATTAAGGAAATAAACTCGAGTGATAATTTAGTGCAACATTTATATTTTATCTATAAACTATGATTGCTTTTTCCCTGTGTCCAAGCGTACACATATACGAACCTTGAGTAGCTGGGTGTTTGTAACAATTTGATTTTGGTCAACTGTGTCCACGAGAGGCTCCATCATTGCTTGTTTCTTGATGCACTTCATATTAAAGCCATAGACATTGTTCCAAACTAGAGTAACATGAAAATTGCAGGGAAAGAAAAAGAATAAAGATCGCACCCAACAAGATAAAAAATGATTTTCGGAATAGGATTTAAAACATTAAAAGCTAATGAGTCCAACATGTATGAAAAGATGGAACCAACAACTGGTTACCAACTTTTATGCATGGAAGATAGCATGAAGCTCACATTCAATCTTGTCATCTTTGTACTCTGCATCCTCAATGGCTGTCAAATAAAGAGAAGCTTTGTCTGGTAATACAATCCCATCATTCGCCTACAGTTAGATAGAGATTTAGCTGACTTGTATTTAAGCACAAGTAAGATAGCTTTAACTGGTACTATCAAGGAATTTCTTATCGCATAATAACTTAAAGTGAAATATAATATGCCTTAAAAATAAATTAACTCCAGTAGCATCAGCAACTGTTGCAACACATCAGGGAAGCCAACATTAACTTAAAAGCCATAAACAACAGATTTTAGAACATAAACTAAAACTTACCAGCCATTTATCACGAGCATACAAAACAGTGTTCAACATATTCTCAAACAGCAAGAAGTAACCCATCCATTCTGAGACAATTATATCCACTTTAGGCACTGGGAGCTCAAGCTCTTCCATCTTTCCCTTCAAAACCGTTATAACTAAAATAAAAAATTAACAAAATAAAATAAAATCAGTCAGTAAAACAAGAATGCCAAGCTTTCCAAGTCAATTAAAAACAAAAAACAATATATTTGACTTAGAGATAGAAAACAAACAAATTACCGTCTGAAAATCCATTAGCTTCAACAATTTGTTTTGCCATGTCGGCCATTTGTGAGCACTCAACCTAGAAGAGTTCAAATATCCAATGACAACGAGAAAAAAAGAAAAAGATTGCGAATTTGATAAAGCTAATAAAATAGATAAGTTCAACAGACCGCATAAACATGTTTTGCCCCAGCTTTGGCGCAAAACAGGGACAAAATCCCAGTCCCCGCTCCGACATCAAGAACTACCTTGTTCTTGAACAGAAACCCGTTTTGATAAATCACGTTTTGGTATGTCTTAGTTCTCACAACATCCTTCAACATTTCCTGCAAGAAAATGAAAACAACTGTCAATACAACATCTTTTCCATATTTTCATTATTAACAAACGAAATCGCCCCTGAAAGTACGGAAAACGCACTTCATGAATACCTGCAAAACACAAAAAGAAACCCAAACATAAGCCCTAGGAATCGAACCTCAATGTAATGAGGAACGAGAAATGAAGGATTTTTGGTTACCGAAATGGGAGTAGGAATCGAAGTAGTAATCGGCGCTGGTTTTGTCGTCGGAGTCGATAAAGGGGACGTCTTGGTCTCCGACCGCTTTGTCACCGGCGACGGGGGAGACGTCGAGGTCGCACATGGACTCGTCTAGGTTGGAGCTCTCAGTGGCGGCGTCGGGAGCTTCGTCGGCGTCGTCATCGTCGTCTCGGAAGCAAATCTTTGTGCTTTCGTGAGGACTTTCCATGGCGCCGAAGCTTCCTGAGGCCTGATTGTTGTTGTTCTTTCGGCGACCCATTTATTTGAAGAAGGAATTTTAGGGTTTTTGAAGGCGAGATGAAATGATGTGGTGCGGGAAGGAAAGGAGGGATTTTGTTAGGGTTTTGTATGGGTTTTGCAAGTTGCAAAGTGAAAGCCTCTTTGAAACGACGCCGTCCAATGGCTTTGCAAGTAGCAAATTTTTCCTTTCTGCAAACAAACATCAGTCCTTTTTTTTTAAACCTTTTTCCTCTTTTTTTTTTTTTTTTTTTCCTTTTTTTGTTTCCTTTTCTGTTCAACAAATTCAATGGCATTTACGACGATACTTCAAAGTTTTCTTACTAATTATCAAAATAAAATAAAATAAGTGACTTTCTCTCGTATTTTATCTTTTTTAAGAATACCAGTGTTCTTATTTATCAGCCGTCGAATCTGTATTAAATCTGTTTAAAGTCAAATCAGATTGAAAAAATAATACAGATCCGACGGCTGCTAAGCGAGAATACTGGTGTTCCCAAAAGTACGGAGAACACTAGAGAAATTCTCAAAATAAATAAATAAACATCTCTGTTATGATAAATTCATTTTTGTATTGACATAATAAGGCTTCCTTCATTTCACCGATTCAAGTTTTGCTACAGTAAAAAGTTATCAGAAACAATCACATTTTAACTTTTTTACTACAGTAAAAAACTCTCACATAAAGTCACATCTCAACTCGAATTAAAAACTCGAATCAACAAATTAAATGGATCCTAAATGAATAAAACCCATCCGGGGCTAGTCCAAATGGTGTAAGGAGGAGGTTTTGGGTATTAGATTTCATATTCAAAATTTAGGGTGCGTTGGTAGGATGGATGAAAGAAAGGATGGATGAATAAGGTAAAAGGGATGGGGAGTGTGAAGAAAGGGAAGCATTGTAAGTTTTCTGAAATTATTAGTATAATAAGAAGGATGATGATTGTCCTTACTCATTGTTTGCTATTACATGGAAAAGAATAGGGAATGATTTATATCCCCTTTTCATGTCCCTTTTTTTTTAATAAAAAAGGATGTTGGTATTCTCACGTCCGACCCAATGACCGTCCAGTGCTTTGATCAAGAGCCTAAATCTGTTCTCTTTTTAAGTCAAGTTATTCACATGCCTTTTATTTGTGTAATCAAACTTAAATCTTCTAGCATGTACCCTTCAAAAGTAGCATTATTCTAATTTACTATAATTTTGCGCGCGTATACAAAAAGAAAAATAAAACAAAAAACAACCAAACCAAAACTAATACCAATACCAATATTAAAAAAGAAAAAGAAAAAAAGAAAACAATGCTCACAAGTAGTAAAAAAAAGTACCTAAACATTGATTTATTGATAAAGTTGACAATAAACCCAGAGTTCCAAACATGCCATGATATTTCGCAGGAAGACGTATTAAACGGTTATAAAGATATATGTTTATTTCCGAATAACCAAAGAAAGTCATGTCTGGCATTTACAATCTCCATCACCTCAAGATTTCGACAACACCAGTCAGAAATCTTCTTTTAGTTATGAAAACCAGAATTACGAAATAGGATTACTGGAAACAGCATATCTCTGCTTCATAAACAAGCACACTAAATGTTGCCAGACTTGTTCTCTTCACCGTTTACTGCTGAATAAATAGAGACTTTGTCGAGCGGCCACGGTGCTCCCGCCATTACTGCTTCGATCTCGTGTATTTCTCGGGGAACATTCGTCATATTCTTGCAGCCGTTGGCAGTGATATACTGCAAATAATAATAAGAATAAGAATAAGAATAATATTTTTTTTTTTTAAAAAGACAGGAAAAAGAAAAGGACGGTATTTTGGTAGAGCAGCTCATGGTTGCAGCTCTCAAAAGGCAAAAGTGCCATAACTAGCTGAGGAAAATTTACAAGACCCTTATCATAAACTAACCGGGAAAGAAAACAAAGAACTATAGTACGATGAATGTGACATCTTAGAATGAAAAATGGCTTGGAAGATAAAAAATAGACTCGTCAAATGGATTACCAGATCACTCTCAATTCGAACTCCACCGAAACCTTTAAATCTCCTAATTGCTTCATGATTTAAGAACCTTGCAATGTTTGACTTTTCCATAGCGGAAACCCAAAGAGCATCAATGAAGTAGCAACCAGGCTCCACTGTTATCACCTACAAAAAGAGAAAAATACAAAGCATAAAATGCAATCAATATATACATATTCCTATCAGGCTATCCTGTAAATTAATATCTGTTCCTAAAAAATGAAGAATGAGAATTCAGACTAATTGTCATTGCTAACCATTCCCTCTTGGAGTTCTCTTATTGTGCGTAGTGACTTTAGTCCAGGTTCTTTTGGCCTCTCCAATCCCTGTGCATATCACGACCATCATCACAAGTCCAATTAAGAGAAGAGAAATGCCACAGAGAGAGAGAGCATCAGCATATAAATTATGTAGAAGAAAAAAACAAAAACCTTTGAATAGCCACCAGGGTCATGTGTGTCGATGCCAAGAAAATGCCCCAGACCATGAGGCATGAAAAGAGCACCCACTCGTTCGGACATCATGTCATCTACATTGCTAGAGCAAAAAAAGGGGCCAATACTGCATTAGAACTTTAATAAAATAAATAAATAAAAACTTGCAAGTAGCTATGTGCGGGAATACATCCGTTAAGAAAAAATTATGTTACCCAACAAGAATGCCAGCTCTAGTGAGTGACTCAAGAATAATCTTTTCAGCTAACCTGCAAATTATAGGAGACAGAATCAGCATGTATGAATGGCATCATAACATAAGCAGTCAGAAGGTCAATGTAATAATATGAATACCCTTCTGAGCGTTTTCATTTTCTTTACCCCTTAATTAATGAACTTGATAAAACCACATATGCAAACAAAGGAAATACAAGAAAATGACATCATAATCCCTGAAACTTATATGCAACATATATACAAATTTTGAAATACAATATTTGACCAGAAGACAAATAGATATTGGATATTCAATTGAGTAAAACTTCATTAACATTTTCCAGCAGAATGAAGAGTTTGAAAAAACAGGTCTTCTTTTTCCTATTTAATTACATTTCCCCAAGGGAAAAATAAAGTGTCTGTAAGAAGAAAACTTACAGAACAAATATCAAAATCTAGGGAAATAACACCTACACCAGCACATATACAGTTCACTTAAACCTTTTTTAATACAGTCTAGCAAATAATGTTCTTGCTGTATGATCATTAGTTTCCTTTTCAATTGTGCGACAATTTATGATTCTTTTGAACATTTTAACAAGCAAAACAAAATAAAATACACCATCTGTAGTTCAGCACTTTTCCTCCATTCTTACCAACTTCTCTCCTTTCCATAAACAAACACAAAAGCATAATTATCACTGAGTTTATAATACAAAACGCTCAAGTGGCACAACAATACAGCTAAAATTAAATGCTCCGCCAGCATAACCAGTGATGACATTCTAGTACTAACCAATGATGACATTCCAGTACTCAAATCAGATCTAGTAATCCTCGTTTAAACTATTGGCTGACTGGAGCAAGTGAAAAAATAAGAAATTTGTAGTATCAATTAGGCTTACTTGTGCATATCAACCCAACATGCTCCGGGTTTCATTGAAGCTATGACTGCATTATGAGCATCAAGGACAGCCTGTGAAAGACTATAGTAAGAACAATTTGTTGTGGAAATGCCAGAAGATGTAAATATAGAAAAACAATATCTGTTGACAGATATGATCAGTGCTTCAGACTAAGAACTTACGTTATATATAAGTGATTGATCGAAAGTAAACTTCCCATTCACCTGCAAATAAAGGTGAAGAAAAACATTAGTAAGCCCACTTACATGAAAGGATACATGTCATTGTTGGTAAACTCAACCAATAAAAGCCAGGAGAAGGATGATGGCAAATGCTCAAAATGAGCATCTGACTAAAAGATGTTGTAATCAATTTAAAGACCATTTGCAAAGATAAATGTATACACTCACAGGGAAGGAACAAGTTATGTCAGAACCATAAAAGTTGTATTCGGCACCCATATCAAGCAAAGCCATATCTCCATCTTCTAAAGTCTGCACGAAAAATGTTGAAATTATTATTTTTATTTCCTTTGATAACCATAAAGGTTCTTCAAGAACAGAATAACGTACCCTGTCATTTGGAGCTGCTGCATGCCCATAATGGAGAACAGAACTGTATTATAAAACATCATAGCCGTTAGCGAACATTTTGACACATTAAGTCCATGTGTGTAACATCAGTCACAACAATAATTAAACAGTAAAAGATATGTTTAACACTAAGAGTTGACATTAGAACTATGCTCATCCAACAGAACTCTCTCTCTACCCTTTTTTTTTCTTGAAGAAAATGGTAGATCTTAGGTTTCTCGGGATAATTGCACGGGCTTTATTCTAAGATCTTCTACAGTTTAGTTTTACATCCTCACAAGTGACAACGTTCCGCAACTTTTCAAAATACTTCTGCAATCTGCAATTAAGTTAAACAAATTCCAAATATTGGAAATTCCAGGCAACTTAATCCAGCATTTATTAGATTCCAACATACACTAAAATTGACTTTTGAACTTTTGAAGAACATATTCCTGGTGTTTTATGTTTCAAATTGAATTTATTTCTTCAACGAGTATGCCCAAATTGCACAAACTTGCATCTGTGAAAACATCAAATGACATCAGCATGAAAAAAATGAAAAAGAAAAAAAAAAGGGATGATAATAATCAGGTAAAAGTAGAGGAAAAGTTTAAACTGTAACTGAGAGTCTGAGACCAAGATCTTATAAACTGATAAATTGCAGAAAACCTTCCGCGTGACAAACCTGATTAGTTGGGATTACACTTGCAAAATTGAGTATTGCACAATATTCAAAAGACAAATAGTTAGAGTATCTAAAAGGACTTAAGAATACCTGTTCCCACCAGTAGCACATATGCACGTGTATGAGCAATGCCTACATCCACCATACATGTAGGTGTGGTGAAGAAACATGCTTTCTAGCTGGTACTCTTTCATGCCCACCCTAACTTTTCGCATGACCTATTCATGAATGACATTTCCAATTCTTTAAAAAAATACAATAAAAAGAAAAAAGAAAAAAGAAGAAGAAGAAGAAGCAAGCACAGACCTGCTCCTTATCCAGTTAAGAACACAATGAACATGAATGAAACAAGCAATGACATACTGTTTTAAGCATGACATGCAGAAGAAATGTTAAGCTATAAATATCAGTGAAAAATTCATGCCCCGCTGCTGGTAAATGATTACCTCAACATGTGCTTCAGAGCTAATACCATTAGCAAACTGGATAAGAGCAAGCTCCAAGTCTGATTTTATGACACGGCATTCAGTCAAAATAGGATGCAAGGTAGTCAAATCAGTTTCAAATTTATCAATCCCCTGAATAGAGAAACAAATAAAATATTAAAACTAAAATTCGAATAGGAAAATGCAGATTTTATATTGATGCATAACCCACAAAATTTGTACTATTTGTTTCCTTTTTGTTTGGTTGAAGGATTTAACATACGCCACTTATCCCCACCCAAGCCCCAGCTACACCAAGGCCTTTGGGCCGTAACTCATATTCCAAGGCATAAGTAGATTGATTTGTGGACAGAAAAAAAGTAAAAGTTGGACAAACCTGAAACTCGGCTGGTTTTGAAAAATTATTACTATCAGTGTTCAGCCCATGCAAGAGGAACAATAATGGTTTATGGGATTCCTGGTAAACATCTTGTAAAACTTCTGCAATTTCATCAGTGTAGTACATCATTTCAACCATATACTTTTCCTGCATATGGAAAACATACAAAATTACAAATGAGCAACTACATAGCAATAAAGAGTCAAGAGATTAAACCAAGTTAACTATAAAATCACCTTGAAGTAGTTTAATGGTTTTATCTCTCCCAACCAAACAGCATAATCATCAGGTAACCTAGGCGCAAAGAGAATAGATTTCCCAGATGCAATGTCCTTCAAGGAAAAAAGGGGAAAAAATGCAAAACAAAAACCTGTAAGTCAAATAAGATCCAGTAGCTCATGAAAAAATGCCCAAATATATAACTAGATAGAACCAATCAAGCAGCTCCAACAAAACTTATCCCAAACATAAACAAGGATAATCTGCTGAACTAATTTCATGATTACAAGGCACAAATAGATACAAACTAGTACATACATGCCCATATTCATATGCAGAAGACCTGCTTCTATCACTCAAAACAAAAAACTAAGCCACTTCGGATACCAATAACATAAATCAATTTACATTAATAAGAAACATATAGTATGAAACTCAATTTAAATGAGAAGATATATGAAGCCTACAAGCTTTTGGAATTAACATTAAATTTTTTTTTTTTTAAAAATACAACACTTAGAGCTTGTTTGGTGGGGGGAAAAGTGGTAGGAGAGATAGGGATGAGAGGATTAGTGGAAGGGTTTTAGGACCCATGGTTGTTTAGAAGGAGAGGAAAAAGGAGGGATTTCAAATCCTTCAAAGAACGTCAATTTCAATCTCTCCCAATAAGGAAGGATTAGAGGGGGGAATCCATACCAAAAAACTATAACAGAAAGCTACTCCCATTTTCCTCACCTAGGTTATGTACATTTCATTCCCTCTTAATTTCTTTCCATCTTTCCAAACCTAGCCCTATATTTTATTTTTTTATACCCAGAAATCCCCCGAGCCCACTTTGTGGACCCGAGTTAAAAACTGGAGCCCTCCGCCAAACCCGACAATCTTTAGAAAGCAGAAATCTATGAATTTTGTCATGTAGGTGCCCATAAGGTGGTTCAAACGCCAGACCTTGTGGGAGCAAACCAAAGGCCTGACCATTACAATCAGCACCCCATGGGTCATAGCCCTACATTTTTTATGCAATTAAATTCATTCAATATGAATTTTACCATCATCTTATTACATGAGAATAATATAACCATGTATACCCAAAACAAAAGATACAAAAAGTAATTAAAAACCAGCTTCACTTGACATAAAAGAACTCCCATCAAAGAATAAAATTCATGTCAAAGAACAATCAATATCCAAAAGCTGAACTTACTATGGCTCCATAGAAACCAGGCTCCACAACTCCAAACAAGTAAGCAAAGTAACTCTCCTGCCTGCACATGAAATAGCCATCACATTGGAAATGCATTAACGTTCGATCAATATATTTAAAAACAAACAAAGAAAAAGCACCGCAATTCATTATCAAAACAATTGATGTTAATCAAGGCACAAAACCTCAAGTTATCTTCTTTTCATCAAAGGATAATTTCCACAAACACATCCAGGATTTTTCGGTAAGTTGGACCCCAAACTTTTAATTATGGTACTTAGAACCCTAAATTCATAATTCTTGACAATACAGTCCAAATGAACGGAAAGTAGGGTCTCAAATGCCAAAATTGAAAAGTTCAGGTATAACTTTCCAACCGGCAAAAAGTTTCGAGCGCATTTTGTCAAACAAAAAAAATAATAACGAAGCTTTTCATCCATTAGTCAATGACTATTAGCTAGTGGACCACAATTGTAAGAGATTTTCAAATTCAGAGTCCATGTGTCAAATTTAAAAACTTTAAATCCAAATTACTAGTTACTGATAAATTCAAGGTGGGAAAAAAAAAAACAAACAAATATAGGCAGTGCACTTGATGAATTAAAATTACCTAATATCACCTACTCGATTGCGGGGAAAAACAAAACAAAACAAAACAAAAGGAAACGAAAGAACGAAAACTGAAATCGGAAAGGTGGAATTTTAAATTTTTTGAGTAGGTACCTGAAGAGTTCGATGTGATCAGTGTCGTATCGTGTTTTCTCTTCACCTCCCTGACAAAAAAAAAAAAAAAAAACCATTCATAATTTAGAATAAGTGTGTGAACAGAGAGAAGAAGAAGAGAGTGAGATTACTTGGAGAAAGACGAAGCCTTGGAGCGGACGAGAAGAGCCGGAGAGGTGGCGGCGAAGAGAAGAGAGGAGCTTTTGCCGGTTGGCGACGTTGAGCTCCATCGGGACCGGCGGAGGAGACAGACGGGAAGGCGACGGGGCGGAAGCCATCGTAATGACGTCCTGCGGGTTCGCCGTTAACGCACGCTACTTTGATGGCTGATGCAAACTCCATTTTTCAATCACTTCGGTCTCCAGAACGACGGCGTTTAGGTGCCTGTTACTGACCAGGTGACTAATGTTGACACAGCTCAACTGTTTGGATTATCAGGCCTACTCAACTATGCATCCCAAGAACTATAGGCCCAGTTTAAGCTTGTCAACTACAGATCGGGCTTGTTTAAGCCCATTATAAGATATTTTTCTTTTCTTTTCGGATGATTTACACGTATAGGAAGATTTTGATATAAATTTAGCAAAAATTTTGAAATATTATAAGAATAGCAAAATTTTATATCATTTTTATATCATCAAAATAATAACTATATCATTATATAGTATAAAATACGATATTATTATGATAATTATTATTTCATTTTTTGCTTTTTTTAATAAAATTTTACTAAATTTCTTATGAAATTTTGTCATGTAGTTAATTACTTCCTTTTTTTAGGAAATTACATGGTATACAACTAAAATTTAAAAGCTTTGCATTTATGCCATTGAACTTCAGTAGTTCCTTAATTTTTTTTCTTGTGAATTTAGTGACATAATTCTTAAGTTTTGCCACTGAGTGGCAGAAATGAAATGTGGCATTATTTGAGTGGCATTTTGTAGTTTTTTTTTTAGGGGGTGGTAAAGATATGTTTTTTTTTGGGATTTTTTTCCCTCTTTTATCCTTGAATTTTTTATGAATTCATTTAGCAAGTTATGTAGTGAAGTTTTAAATTTTGATAAATTACTTTGTAAATTGAATAAAATATTGCAAAATACTCCTAATCCATGAAGAATCTTAAATTTTGAAACGAAACATCCTAATTCATTGTAATGACATGCTCCATTGTCATCTCAAATTTTAATATCTACCTTCAAATGAGCTCAAGAGTGATTTAGTCAAAATTTTAATATGCATCAATGATTTGAGAGCACAATGCAATGCTTTATTCAATTTATGAGCAATTTGTTAAAATTAAAATATGAAAATAATTTAACATGATTGAGGACATGAAAATTGGACAGATAATTTGAATTTGTACTAATGGAGTGGGCAAATCACTAGAAGTACATAATTTTAAAGGGAAAAAATGGTCTCTATGGCAATGAACCACTGCTTCGTCCCAGTCCAAGCTCTTATCCCTACAATCTCAAGTGGTTACTCAAGGAAACTAGAAGCGTTTTAGGCTTTGTTCGTTTTATAATTCGAATCACAATTCAAATTTTTTGCTATATTATCTTTTATCACAAAAATTTGAATTTAACTTTTTTCGTTACAGTATTTTCTCTCACATAAATTCACTTTTCAATTCAAGTTCTCAACTCAAACTCACGAAATGAACAGGACCTTAATAGTCACGCGTCGTCTAATTAAAATATTCAAGAATAATGCAGTGATATGCATTACTCACGATGGGGCAGCAATAACTGCACCACTCTTCAAACACTACAACATGTAAACTCAACTTGAAGTCCCTCCACTCTACCCAAGAGATCAGGTTCTTCTGAAAACCGCGTTTGTTTAACATGTCAAACTAATAAAACAAGTAAAATTAAACTACAGAAAAGGACAGCAAAAAGATATATATTAAAGTTTTTCTTTTATTAAATTATTAAGGCTTAGAGTCTACTACGGTAAGAAGTAGAAAAAAAACAAAGAGCTTAAATTGACAAGTTGTAGTTCATGTAAGATTTTAAACAACATTTGATCACTGAAAACTAGGAGCTCAGTTAAGCAAACTGTATATAATACTTCCTACAATTTGTGCTCGTAACTAAAGGTGAGTTAGTACTCTCTGTTGACCCTTTTTATCATTGTTGTCCAATAAGCTTATCTCACAGGTAGAAGATATGATGCAAAATAATTATAACTTCCACAATAATAGGTCAATTCATCAATGAATCTTCTACCAAACTAATAATAGTGCACTGCATGTGTTTGGATTTACGAGGCATTGTCCGATATGAAAATAGCATTTGCGATGTAAATTAACCCTTTTCATGAGTTCCAAAGTGAAGAATACATGATATATATGTATAGATATATATATATATGTATGTATATACATGTGTGTGTGTGTGTGTGTGTGATATATAATTGTGTAACCGTGCGTGGTTTGCCTGCTGGTTTCTGGTTGGCAACGAGCTGGAATTTACATGTATGCAAAAGGGGAAAAAAAAAGGCAAAAGAAGTTGAAATCCAAGCAGCAGAACATTGAATATAGGAGATATGGTATTTGAAAAAAAATAAATAATAATAATAAAAGCAAAGAGAGAAAAAGAAAAACTATCAATTATATTCTTATTTCCAAAGCCTGTGTGGAAGTTCTTGGTTCACAATTTAAGGAAGTATGAACCATGCCATCAATCATGGAAACTTGCATATTTTTAATTTGTATTTTTATAATATGTGTGTGGCGATACATTACACAATACACTCGTCAATCATTATATTTAGAGAGATGCAATGCAAGCCTGCATGCATGGGATAGGAAGAGCACATGGTTGGGACTATAGAAAATGACGCACCAAAAAAGGTGATTCTTGCCACATATGTGGTTGAAGGCACTGATTAGAAAATTCAGTTATATACATATATAAATATATGGTTAGTTTACCATTTCTCTTGAAAGCTTAAGCTGATACAAAATTTTAAATAATAAACTGAAAACATATTAAAATCCCAATACATATTGATAATTAGAGGAGTTTGAATTTAAGAAATCATCTTCTAATATCATGTAAAGTTAAAGTTTATCTAGTAGCAACCGATTCTAGTAAATAAGATAGTGTTTCATAAAATTGGTTGTTCTTTCTCTCTCCTTTCTTCTAGAGGAATTGAGCCGTTCATTTCAACATCATTACTGTACCTCGGTCACACTTTAACAGCGTACTATTCCAGACCTCTGTCTATCGCAACATTGATAGAAACTCATAAGCCTCGTTCACTTGAATTTTTAATTTAAGTTGAGATGTGACATTTTTTAAGAATTTTTTATTGTAACAGAAAAAGTTAGATGTGACATTTTCTGAGAGCTTTTAACTGTAAAAACCTAAAACTGAAAACTCGAATCGGTAAAATGAATGAGGTAATAGTTATTTTAACCAGCCTCGTAACTTGACAAGTAGGAGGCTCCGCATTTTTCCTATCATACGATTCTGTCAGACTATTCTATTTCATTCATTCTCTATTCAAAACTGTTTATTCTAAGAGCCTAAAAACTGAAGTTGTTAAGAGTTAAGTCAATAATACTTGTTATATTTTAACATTGATAAATATAGAAGAAACCCATCAGAGAAAACTAATGCAAGTGGACAAAAAAACTATTAGAACATTCAAAACTGTCAGAAAATAGGGGATGGGAATTGATTCAAGATGGTCCCTTTTTGATGAATAATTGGGTAGTCAAAGCCGCACTTTTGTGCTTTACAACTAAAGCAACAAATTATATATATAATGTACACAAGGAAGAGTAGAGTCTTCTTCACAACCTACAAGGAAATTTCCAACATAAAGACAATTAGAAGCGTGTCTTTAAAAAGGGATTATTACTTGTTAGCATAATTAGCTAGCTAGCTACAAGCCGGCATGCTCAATTTGTGAATATGTCATGGTTCTTACAAAACGTGTTAGTACAACCACGCTATGTAGAGGAATCATTTATAAGATGTATACAAATATTGAGCTTATTAAGTACTATATCTATATATCTATATATGGCCTAGATGCGCGTTGATTATATATATTAAAGAAAGGAGAGTGTATATATGTATATGTATGTAGCAGCTGGGGATTAAGCATAATAATTGTTTGAAAATTAGGCTTAAAAGTCTTATGGGATGTTTGGAACAAGGGTTCGTCATGGTTCTAAATCATGGTTCTTGATTCTCTACAGTATTTTTCTCTCACAAAAAATTTAAATTTTAAAAATTAGAATCATAAATCATAATTATAAACTCATAAACCAAACGTCTTATTAATATGCAAAAACCTCATACCAATTCCAATATTTAGACCTACTAAATATTCTAAAGTTATCTCTCTTTTGACATAATCTTAGCACGATAAGTATAAAGATTATCACGTGGCACTTAGTCATTGGCATTGTATCTTCCACGAAGATTCCTGCTCTCTCAAAGCCATACAAACATGCCATTTTTTTACATTAGATGAGGATATTATCTTACCTCATTTGATCTCAAAGTAATATTCACATATATATGAATTAATTCCCCTACGCCTTTGCCTATACTAGTCTATATGTGTGTATGTACATATTCATGCATTTTAGATAGTTTAGTGAGATTTAGGAATATATGGGGTTTTCAATTTTGTCCAATTTAATATGTAGCGCTATATATTCGTTTAATTAAACAATGGAGATTCGTATGGCCCTAGATTTGCCTACGAATATTTTGGTATATATCTTTACAAAAAAAATATTGATATATACCCTTTTGTGTCAAGGTTATGAAAATTTAAAAAAAGGATACGAATGTCCGACTTTTACCAATTGCAGGCCATTTATGGCAGCAGAAATCGCAGTCGGTCAGTATAGGATTCGAGTTAAGACAAAGCACATTCCTTTCAATTGTTCTCCTAATTAGCAACACAAAACGACAGTGTGACATAAACTTGGAATTTTTGCTTGGAAAATGTTGACAATGTGAGCTGTTTATGATTGATTAAAGAAAATATAATCCCACCTCATATAAAAGATCCCTTTTCGGTTTAAAATAGTGTGTGAACTTGGAAATTTACAAGTCACTTTGGGTAGTACAGTTGTGAGGCTTTCTTATAAAAGCCTAATTTTTTTTTTAAAAAAAATTTAATTTTTTTGTTTTTTGACTGTCGTTTTCACAGTGTTGAGTTGAGTCGCCTTCGTTCATTTTACGGATTCGAGTTTTCAATTTGAGCTCAGATGTGACATTTTCTGAGAGTTTTTCACTATAGTAGAAAAAGTTAGATGTGACATTTTCTAAAAAAATTTTACTGTAAAAACCTAAAATTGAAAATTCAAATCGGAGAAATGAACTTCTTAGGGGGTGCTTCCATGTCATTCAATGCTGCTTTTCTCAGTTGGAATCCACCTCGGAACTCGACCACTTTCTTGGCAATAACCATTTTCATCGATAATATTACTCTCTCTGTTACCTAACACACTAATATAATTCATTAGTTTTTGTTAAGTGTGAATAATATTGATTTTGATTGCAGACGTCAAGTTGTATTTTGGTTGTTTGAGATCATATATAAATCTTTTAATAAACATCGACATTTTCAATATATATAAAAATAATGTTGAAGAACCGCTTAAACTCTTTTTTTAATTCAATAATCAAAGACTACTTAAAAAAAGAACATGAATCCTCAAAAAGATGAAAATGAAAAATAAACACCTCTTTCCTAATTTATTAATTCTGGAATAGAAATCATATATATAATAATCCACCTTTTTTATTTTCAGTTTATGTCCAAATTAATTAAAATAATAATAAAAATCTAAATAAATAGAACATAAAAATCAGAAACATCCACAATAAACTAATTTCTATATATATATATATATATATATCATAACAATGTAGAATTTCCTTAAATTTATATCATATAACTTTTGTTGAGGCTGCAAGAATTTTGCCGGAGGAGCAATATCATGGGGCATTAACTTTTTTGCAGTTTATAAGTATATGCTTTCCGTCCAATGATTTTGGGGGTGATGATGAGTTGAAAGTGCCCATTCCAGTAAGAAATGCTAGTTAAAATTGCCCATGTCACACTCAAATTTAAATTATTAATTATTTATAAAGTACAAACACCATTAAATTAATTAATTAAAATTAAACCTCCCATATCTGGTCAAGACCTTTGCGGTTGATACTTGTCTCTCCCTTACAGGCTGAAGTCGCCGAATAGTCGTCATCTGATCACTCCATTCACGTTCTCCTTAATTTCTTTTCTTTTTTAGGATTCAAAAATCTATTAATTGCAAATCTTTTACTATGTATTGAGAAAGACTTCTTTGCACATGGATATTCATGATATCTCGAGCCCCACGTCGTTGATTTTAGAGAAGCATATTCCCCATTATCATAATTTATTTATTTATCTTATTTGCCTCCCTTTTTTTTCATCTTGGTATGTTATATTTATTCCATATATATTATATGTTAGTTGAAATCCACAAAAAAGACACAATCTCAACAAGTATCCTATCTACTACATAGACGGCCATGCATATGTAACAAAAATATTCCACATTATAACCCCATACAACAAATTATAAACATGCTTGAAAATGTATCTAAAAGCGATCATTTATGAATTTTGAACATAAGAAAATGCAAAGATATTGCTTTATAAAACTAATAAAAAGAAAAAAAAAATATAGCATTTGGGTTTCATATACATATGTGTTTCGGATGATCCAACATGCTATATCTTGAACATTGATTTGGTGCTTTGAACTAAAAAAACTGCAAAATTATGGGCGCGTTTGGAACTCGTTTCAAAATGATTTTATTTTTTGTATGAAAATAAAAACGTTTTTAATTTCATACAAAAATCATTTTTGAAAATGCATTTGGTAGTTTTATCAAGAGATTATTTTCAGTGTAAAAAACCCATTAATGTCTTTCTTTCTCTCTCTCTGCAGGAGCGAGGAGAAAACGAAAATAAAAAATGAAAAACGATTAAAAGTCATTTTTTATTTCTCTATCATTTTATACTAAACTAAAAAATCATTTTCATTTCCGTTTTTTATCTTTATTGCGCCAAACGTCGTTTCGAAAACGTTTTTATTTTTTCTTTCTCAAAAAACGTGAAAAATAAAAACGAGATCAATTTCAAACACGGCCTATGAGTTTACCTCTCCGTTATTTTCAATGGTTTGAAACCGAAACTTAAACTGTGTTTTTCAAACTTTTTATTTCAAACGAAAAAAAGTTCAAACCACCACATTTTGAACCTTTTTATCAAACGGATCCTTGAATTTTTCTTATTTCAATTATCTGTATTTCTGAACTAAGTTAACTTTGGAGCTTAAAAGAGGAGTTATAAACTTATGTTGCTTAGATATATATAATGCATTAGTGGGGTCAGCAGATCTTCTCGGAGCTTCTATTTTGTCATGGTTTTGTTTGTAAATCAGAATCTTAATCTTTGGTAAATTGGTATCTTTGTGATCAGGTCATCAGAAACTTAACTACTCTTTCATCTCTTCAATTATATTTTGGCGTGCAATATGCCTTCCTAATGCATGATTAGTTTGATCGGCATCGAATTTAGAGTTTATTCGGCATAGATTTGATCAGTCATAGGTTGGGAAGTAGGGATTTGTATGGAGAAAAAACCAACCACTATTAACTAAAAAATAATTGCAATTAGAGTTAATAATATATATGTGGAATATAAAACACCAATTCTCTCTGACTAAGAAATTGAGAATATGAAATTTTTTAAAAAAACATTTAAAAAGGAAAAAAAAAAAAAAAAAACACTCATCCACCCTCTATCAACCACCATATTCTTTCTGTATCTTAAAGAAGATTTTAGCTGAAGATAAAATTTGACAAGATGACAGAAGCTACAGTTGGCAAAAGGCATAAAAACTTTATCTGTAAAAGGTGATCTTTGATCTTGCTTACATTACAGAATCAATCATTAACATATATATTTGTATGTGTGTGTGTATATATATATATATATATTTTTTTTTGTTGTTGTTGTTGTTGTTGTTGTTGTTGTTGTTGTTGTGTGTGTGTCAGGCAAGTTGAGGGCTGTTTCTTTCCACCCTATATAAGGGAGTTTTTGTTTCAAACTTTTCATTCAAACAGTTCTCAGTTTCTCAAGTCTCTCTAATTCTCTCTCATTCTCTTTTAGTCACAACAGCTTTATTAGGCCTTAAAAACTACTATTTTATAAGCTCCTCAAAAATAAGAAAAAAAAAAGGCCTCATCTTTTTTCATAATTCCAAAGAAAAAAAAAAGAAGAAAGCTAGTTATGGCTATTGAGATTGAGCAACAACCCGCCGCAGCTTCTGTTGAGCTCTCGAAGGTCGCGGTCTCCGACACGCACGGCGAGGACTCTCCATATTTTGCTGGCTGGAAAGCTTATGATGAAGACCCTTATGATGAAATGACTAACCCATCAGGAGTGATTCAGATGGGATTGGCTGAGAATCAAGTAAGTTAAAAAAATACCACACATCTATTTAAGAAAATTGGTCATTTTCTCACTCTTATAACTCTTTTTTTTTTTTTTTTTCTTGAACAGGTTTCATTTGATTTGCTGGAAAAGTACTTGGAACAGCATTCAGAAGAAACCAGCTTGGAAAAAGGAGTCTCAAGCTTCAGAGAAAATGCCTTGTTCCAAGACTACCATGGCCTTTTGTCTTTCAGAGAGGCAATGGCAAGTTTTATGGAACAAATTAGAGGAGGAAGAGCAAAGTTTGACCCCAATAGAGTGGTCATCACCGCAGGCGCGACAGCGGCCAATGAGCTCTTGACATTTATTCTTGCAGATCCCGGAGATGCTTTGCTGGTTCCAACCCCATACTATCCAGGGTAAGATATACACCAAATTTCAAAATTAGTTTTTATTGATTTTTGCGTCAATCACTTAATTAAAAAAAATAATTCCTTTCTAGGAATTCCTTTTGGTATTAGTGAATCAATCCCAAATGGGATCATGAGATTAATATGTGAATCTTTTAAGTATTATTTCATGCATATTTTCACGTCCATATTTAAGCCTCAAACTAAATTATCAATTGTTTTTTTTTTTTTTTGCCAGATTTGACAGAGATTTAAGATGGAGAACTGGTGTAAAGATTTTCCCTATCCACTGTGACAGCTCCAACAATTTCCAAATAACTCCACAAGCTCTAGAAGCGGCATACAACGAAGCACAATCCAAGAACATAAGGGTGAGAGGCGTTCTCATCACAAACCCATCAAACCCTCTCGGCGCGACGATCCAACGGTCGGTACTCGAGGAGATTCTCGACTTCGCCACGCGCAAGAACATCCACCTAGTCTCCGACGAAATCTACTCGGGGTCGGTCTTCTCGTCGGAGGAATTCGTCAGCGTTGCCGAGATTCTCGAGAACCGGGGCTACAAGAACTCGGAGAGAGTTCACATTGTATACAGCCTCTCCAAGGATCTCGGTCTCCCCGGTTTTCGCGTCGGGACGATATACTCCTACAACGACAAGGTCGTGACGACGGCGCGGAGAATGTCGAGCTTCACGTTGATATCTTCTCAAACGCAACATCTCTTGGCTTCCATGTTGTCCGACAAGGAATTCACGGAGAATTACATTAAGACCAACAGAGACAGGCTTAAGAAAAGGTATGACATGATCATTGAAGGATTAAAAAGTGCCGGGATTGAGTGTTTGAAGGGAAATGCCGGGCTGTTTTGTTGGATGAATTTGAGTCCGCTTTTGGAGAAACCAACAAGAGAAGGCGAATTAACGCTCTGGGATTCGATTCTTCGCGAAGTTAAGCTGAATATCTCGCCGGGATCTTCTTGCCATTGCTCCAAACCGGGGTGGTTTAGGGTGTGTTTTGCTAACATGAGTGAGAAGACGCTTGAAGTGGCGTTGAAAAGAATACACAATTTCACGGAGAAAAGGGAGACAATTAGTAGTAGAAATTAATTAAAATTTTCTACTACTACTTTTTTTTTTTTTAATATCTCTGGTATATTTTATATTTATGTCTTGATTATATTTTTTTTAATGGTTTGTAACCATTTTCGATTCTTTTGGATGACGAAATTCCCATTTCAAGAGGTGGGGGTTTTGTCTCGTGGTCATATTTACTTATTCATGTATACTGTAAATCAGATATATTGAAGGAAGTAATACTACAATTGTTTGCTTGTTCTTGTCAAAGCAAGTTCTCTTGCTTTGGCAATGCAAGTTTTTTTATTTTTCTCAAAGAGGTTATTGTAATTTCATGATTGTAATAAAACGTTTGTTTTTTCTCTCATATTAATTAATTCCTATTGTGTATAAATATTATACAATTATGGCCTATATCATGATCCTTACACCTCTAGAAATCAGTTTTTTTTTTTTTCTTTTTTTTCAAGGGAGTTGTAAAAGGATCTTCCCCATATATTATAGCAAAAAATACTTCCTATAATCATGTGAATGGTTACAAGTATGTACCTCTATTATTCTTTGACTCAGTTATACCTTTAAGTTCAAGAAAAGAATGGTTTTCGAGCATTAGTAGCTAGTAATAAGACGATACCATCGTGTCAAATGACATGGGGTAAGACTTGACATTGTATGAGAAAATAAGAAACGAATGATAAAAGTCTATGTTGAAAAGGATACACTAAGATTATGGAACATATATATTATGAGAAGAAAAAAGTTAACCTATAGTTTCATACAACTTATTAGCCTCTTGTCTTAGTACTATTTGTGCTTATCATGAAGATATTATTACTTGTCGTTTGTAGCCATACTATTCTTCGTATGGTAAAACCCAATTCAAGAAGTGTGCTTACTCATGACTACATATCGTACTTAAGTGCATATTTCATAGAAAGAAGTAACATTCTTTGCTAGCGGTAGCAAAGCTAGTTTTTAATGTCTCACAAAGTTTCGTTTTTTGATAAGAGTGTCACGCAAGTTTCTTGTTTCCATGATCAAGCACCCGAAGCTTTTTCCCCCTCGTATTATCACTACAGTACAATAATTGATTTTAGTAATGTTATTAAAAAAAACAACTTAATTATCACGACATATCAAATAAATGATTAAAAAAAGGGTATACGTATCTGTATTCTTTTGAGTCTTTGACTAAGTAACTATTAAATTCAAGAGAAAAGAGTAGTTTGCTAATGAGTTCTTAATTAGCTATAACTTGATCAACTATTAATGTGGAAGTGTACTTGAATATATTAATAACGAAGTGCAGATATATATGATAATTATTATATCTATATATATATATATATTTAACAAATCATCACCCCATCATCAACAGCTAAAGGCCAAGCTACTAAACTTGATGGCTCGGTTGGAATATCAAACCTCGAAGTTCTATAACCTTTGACATTTGGAAGTTATTGGCGTTTTTTTGTCATGGCATGTCATGCTCATATAACCTGGCTTGATTGAGATGTATTAATTAGATAAGATTTTGCATTAATATGTGCTTTATATCAAGCTTGCGTACCACGCTTTACACCAAATATTGGTCCACCACGTGACCACCTGATACACATATATATATATGTATACATACATATATATATTAAGTTATACCCGCCATTTTTAGATCACCTAATTAAAATCAGCTTTGTCATAATTAAAGCTGGCTTTTGATAATATTTCATGTTGATACGAGATTACGAGTTTGATATATAAAATGAGAATCGAAAGGTAATGCATATCAAACAAAGGATTGTCTAAGCATTATAACCTTAGGTGTAGCTAGATAGCCATATAGCTTAATTACGAGTATTATTGTTTGCATATATATGTTATATTATTATAGGATTGTCGATACGAGACCAGTCTAATAAATGTAACTTTTTCTATATTCTCAGTGTAATTACATCAGTTAATACTAGGTTTGTTTAAGTGTGACATTCAAAAAATATAGTCCAACATATCATGTCATTTTGAATATTACACTTAAACAAATAAAAAAAGATTACATATTTGTCAGACTTTATAGATGTCAGCGTTAAGACTTTACCTATAATTATATATATAATTTGTGTCTCTTAATGTCATTACTGTAGTTTACGAAGTGGACATATTATTATTATAGTTTGAGTTCTCCATAATATTTTAGCTTTTACTTTTGAGTTTTATTTGACTTTTCAATTCTAACTTTAATAAAAAAGTTGAAATTAATAGCTTGCGGCATGTTAAGTAAGGATTCAATCGCTTTTATCATCTTTCAACCATATGGCCTGCATGATTTTCTCTTTCTTTGTTAATTAATCCCTTAACTTGGTGATTAAACATTATTAAAACCTTAAATCTGAGGTCTACATTAAGAACTGAATCAGCAATTCTAGTCTTCCAAACATTTATAGCCTGTAAAGCTCTTCTTTGTCTTCTAAAATAATCGCTTGCTTACAAAAATATCGCTTGAACTTTCCAATTCCATTTTGTCAACTCAAGTTTGGAGGGCTAAGTCTATATCCAAGTTTGAATTGTTAAACTTTGGTTGAATTTCATTAAAGTCAACCTCAAACTATCAATTTTTTCTGTCTTTTTCTTTCGTTTTCTTTTTTCCCAGATAAGGAGGCAGCATAAATCTTAGTCATTTAGTTAGTGACCTCCACATAAGTAAAATAAGATCCCGTTCATTTCACTAATTCGAATTTAAAATTTAATAATTAAAAACTCGAATCAATGAACTAAACAGACCTTAAGAATGCTGTTTTCATTACCAAATACACAACTTGGCATTAATTAAGTCAGCTAACTGAAAAAAAAAAATCCCCATATACATATATCCTTGATTATGGTAACCCTAACCATACTACTTCATTTATAAATTTCATAGTAACAGAAATTAATACATGTTAAGACGAGACAGAATTTATACCTTACCATTCTCTTACCTAACAAGCAAAAATTTATCACTTTGAAAATAATGATTCATTCGGATCACTACAAATCGTCAGAGTCCACATTTTATATTTGAAAATTGCTAAATATATAGTCTCACCTTTCCAAAAAGCAAAGCATATTAATTCTATCACCTTTCGGCTTTCACATGAAGATCACTTTTAGGAACCAACACCGTACGGACTCTTCATTAATTGTTGAAATTCCCATGATTCATCAATTCAAAAAGGGAATTTTCCCAAAAAAAGAAAATAAGAAAGAAAACCAACAGCCAAAAAAAATTGAAGAAATAGCTAGATTGGAAAGCGAGATAGATCACCACGTGTGAGAGTAGTTGGTAGGATTCTGCACTCTTGAAAGTCCATTAGCAAAAGTTTCTTGGGTGACGATTTATTAATACTTGTACCAAACCAAACCTCTCTAATGATAATCCTTCCAAGTCAAAAAGTCAAACCTTTGACCATATGAATGTGTGATAGCCCCCATGCCAAATCATACTAGACAACAAACAAATCTAATCACCACCGTCCAGATCATCCCCATGTGGCTCACGAGGACAATCATGAGCTGACACGTAAGAATGTGGATACAAATATTATTACATCCTAGCAGCCCAACTACCCTTTTGGACGATTAGCAAAACCTGGCTTTTCCCACTATCAACTTTTTAGCAAAACAAAATGTGAGAAGCGCAAAGATTTTTAGCGGCGTGACAGCCGCTGCCATATTGGAGCAATAATGTTCGGGATTATAATGAAGACTATCGTATAGAATATATTTAAATGATGGCCACAATCTTAGAAAGGTGATTGGATATTGGAGTTGGTCTTCAAAAATGATCTTTTTGTCTATGTTGTTATAACTCGCAGATGAAAGTGTTATGTTGGCCGTTCAAATGTATATTTTGTCGGCATCGTTTGCTGGTGGGGTAGTTTAATGGTGATGAATTATCATGATGGGTTTGTGATCAACGGTTTGAGTGTTGTCTTGTTTTTTTTTTTTTTTTTAAGGATACGTTTAGTAGATTGATTCAGAATCATGATTCTAGATCCTAGTTCAAAATAAGTGTTTATTTACAGTAATTCTGAATCATGAGTCAGAATTAGTGTTTGCTTTGAATGATTCTGAATCATTATTCGGAATCTAATGTGATGTTTTAAACTAGCTAAAATCATGATTCTAAAACCAACTCTCCTCTTGATTCAAAGTGATTCAAGCTCTTGATTCTGAATCATGATTTGAACCTAAAATCATGAATCATGGTTCTTATTTTAGAATCATGATTAGAATTACCATGATTTAAATCTTCGTACCAAACGAACCCTAAATGTCTTAAATACGAGAGTTTACTCTTGTTAGCCTAATATTTTATTAATTTGAAGTGTCTAAAATTACACGCTTATTTTTCTTTATTGTTAACATTAATGAGATTGAAATAATATTCAGAGTCTGGTAATGGCGATCGATCCCTTTACGGACTTTTTTTCAAATAAAAAAATGCTGTCGGCATTGGAATTGAAACTTGAATAATATGGTTAGTGGCCCAAAATGGGTCCGACTCTTTTCAATGAGATTATCCTAATTAAAGCTCTCATTGTTTTCTTCTCTTCTTTGGTGTGTCGATGCATGATATCGATTGAGCTATACATGACACGTATCGTAACAAATTGTACTCATCATTTGATGTGGATTTTCTAGTTGCATAAATCAATTTTCCTCTATAATAACGTAGATTTCACCTTTTAAAAAAATATTCAAGTCATAACATTAGTTGGTACATATATATCGTGCAAGAATTTGGTCACCTAGCTAGTCGATTAACATTCGCTGGTTGTAAAACGTAACAATTTATAATTTAAAGGGAAAAAGAGAAAAATCTCCTTTAAAATACGTGTGTTTTAGATTTTTATTTTTTAAACTTGATTAATACATTTTAATCAAAAAATTATATTAATTAAAAGATTATTTATTAAAAGTAAAAAGTAAAAATTTTAAAAAACAATACATTTAAAAAGTGAATTCGCTAATTTTCTTTACTTTTTAATATCTTATTTAATTTTTGGCTAGTAAGCAACAATGGAACTTGGTGTCATAGAGTTTCTTTTCTCTCTCTTATTTTTTTCCCCCTTACAAACAAGCAACAAGCATTAATATTGGGCAGCACCATTTTATTCTCTCAAACGGCAACCTATTTTTAGTGCCGAAAAAAAAAGCTCTATTTGTGTCGTTAACCCTTAGAAAATAACGAGCTATCTTCATCCTTGATGTTGCTATGCAGTCCTGCCGTTGTTGTCGTTGACTCGCCTCCATGACGTTTGGGCCCTTTCAGTGAAAGCATCGGCCTTCGTATTAAACAAGAGTACGGCCCTGTCAAATGACCATGGGCTTGCCCAAACAGATCAATTGTTAGAGGAGATCGGAAAAATACCCCTCAAACTGTTGATGTACGTATTCATATTTTATGCAATCCAATAAACTTCAGATTTAGACCCTTTTAATGACTAATATAAAAACATATTTTTTTTTTAATTTTTTTATATTTCATGCAATCCAATGAACCCCAATGCACTTAACTTTGTCATTTTTTTTTTTCTGAAAACTGTTAAAGTTAGGTATAAAAAGGAAAAAAAAAAAAAAAACAATTTTATCAGGCATTAACTAATTCTCGTAAGTTCTTATGATATAAATTCGTATATTACATAATAAAAAAATATAAGGACCAAATTAAGTTTTTAATAACTCGGACCTCCAAAAAAACATACCATATCCAAAATATATTTTTTTCTCCTTCATTTATTTTCTCGTGAGCTCTATAAATAGGAGCATACAATTACAATGTTAATTATAAAAATAATTAATAACAATAATAGTAACAAAGCGGAAAAATACTTATCCTAAAAATAATTAATAACAATAAAACTATTTTTTTTTATCTTTAAATAAAGCTAACAAATTGCTACAAATAAAAATAAAAATAGAAATAATGAAAATAAAAATAAAAAGTTAATATTTTAGGTAATAACATCTCGGCCCTTGGTTTTAAGTGCATTTTGATTAAAACCTAGAACTCAGATTGAGGCCCCAATCCCCAGCCATCGATCCTCCCCTCTGTGCAAGCGCCGTCGCGTCAGCCCATCTTCCCAATACCCCGTGCATTTTCGCGAGCCGATTTCAAGCCAAGTTCCTTCACGGTTGGTTTTCTGTCCTTAACCTTTTGTAATTTTTGTTTGAATTTGGGGATTTTGTGGCGGAAAACCAAGTCTTTGAGGAGATTCGTACGTTTTCTGTTACAATCATTCATTTTCCCTGATTTTCATAGGTTTACGAATCTCAAAGTTAGTAATGGTTATATGGGTTATGTAGTTGTTTTAGTTTGCGAAATGTGAAGATGAGATTGAGACATTGAGTGTGAACAATGAAGATAATAAACAGGCCTATTTTTTGAAAGTTAGAAAACAGTCGAGTGACAAGGAGGATATTTTTGTTAAGGTTTCGCCCGAGCTTGCGGTGGTTGACTATAAGAATGAAAAGAGATTCAATTGTGTTCACAATTTTTTGTTGGAAGTTGAAATTGGGTTTTTTTAGATTATTGAAGTTTTGTGTTTGAAATTTCAATTTGAAGTTTAGTCTATGAAGTATAAATTAGTTTATGGAATTCGTTCTATTGTAGAATTTTTTTGATAATTGATTGAGGTTTTTGGAATTTGTTTGATTGTTGCAAATTGCTATTGTGCTTTTTGGTTGATATTGGCGAAAATTGTTATTTTGATTAATTTGTGTGTTTTAGCTATTTGTGGTTTTTGGTTGATTATTGTTCTATTTTTGGAAGATTGATATTAGTGGATATTGTTAGAAGTTCATATTTGTGAGAGTGAGATTTCATTGAGATTTGTGAAATTTAGTTTGATATTTGTTGGAAATTGGTATGATTATGGTGTTGAAATTTTTGATTTTTATGATTCTTTTTTATATCAGAATTGCAAGCAAAACTATTTTAGACAAAATGCCGCTTGGCTTCGATTAGACAAAACGCCTTGGTTTCCAATTCCGCCTTGTAAAACTATGTTTATGACAAGTCATGAAATTAAAAATATAACTTGTTAGGGGTATAAAAGGGTTTTACTGAATTCTGACACTTACATATTTATGCTGTTCATGAAAATTTTTTGATGTATTGTTAGTTCCTTAAATTGGTTTAAATTATTGTTGAAAATTGGCCTTTATTATTCCTTTAGGGATTTTGTTTACTGAACCTTGGAGTTTTCAATGTCGTATCCGCGTTTTTCTCAGATGATTACTTAAGTCTTGAGTTGTTTGGTTTCTCAGAAGGATGTGAAAGAAGATAGCCCACTAGGTTGTAACAGCTCATTTTTCTGATATTCTAGATATTTTTGTAATTTGTGGCAACTGTTTTATATTATTTGTGGAAAGTGTGACTTCATAGGTATTGATGTTATAGCTAATTGAATGTTTGATTCATTCAGTAGCATATCATAATTGGCTTTTTTCCTGCAGGTAGGCTTAAGTTTGGAGTAAATGGCATCAAAATTGCAGCAACTGCAATCAAAGGCTTGCCAAGCGTCACAATTCGCTTTCAAGCACGGATCTGCTTACTACAAGCAGTTATTGGAGCAGAACAAGCAGTACATTCAGGAACCACCAACGGTTGAGAAATGCAATCAGCTTTCAAAACAATTGTTTTACACTCGTCTTGCCAGGTTATATTTCTGTTCTTCATAGTCTCGTTGATAAACAGGCTTCGAAACATTCTTCTTTTGTAGTACCAACTATTTCATGTCACCAATTTTTCAGCTCATTAATAAGTTGGATGAGGAAACATACAATAGTTAAGTCACTTATAAAAATTTCTTAGAATCATTGTTGCAATCTTTCTCTTCTGGCATATGCGTGCATCTGCTGTTTATCTTGACTTAGTGATACTCTGTGCAGTATTCCTGGTCGTTGCGAGTCATTTTGGAAGGAACTCGACTATGTCAAGCACATATGGAAGAACAGGCAGGAATTGAAGGTTGAAGATGCCGGTATAGCTGCTTTATTTGGGCTGGAATGCTTTGCCTGGTTTTGTGCCGGCGAGATTGTGGGAAGGGGATTTACTTTCACCGGTTACTATGTTTGAAAACTTCCCTTGCCAAAATGTTTTTAGAGGTTGCATGTCTCAAAGCCTCGTCTTTATATTTGCTTCATCTAAATTGAGGGAATTCTACATGCAAATTTTTTATTTCCCCTTTTCCATCATTCTGCAAATTTTTGAACCTGAGAAATCTGCGGGCAATTCTGAGTCCTGACAAGCCTTAATAATGCATGCTTTGAAAAGTGACGTGGATGAAGCTTGATGTTAATTTGGTATTCTCTGTTGGGAGCTAATGCTACCAAATCATAATTGGTGATTTTAGTCCAAGATTTATTGCATTGACTTGTTTATTTTAGCTACTTTTGTGACTAAAATTTTTGTGTTATCAACTCTAATTATATCGCTTGAGCACGCTATACAATGGTTCGATCAATATATAGCTCAAGCACGCCTTAAAATGATTGGCTCGAGCACGTTATAAAATGATTGGAGGTAGGAACCATGTTGATACAGATTTTCGTTTAATTTTTCTGGTTTAGATGTTTTTGCAATTTTTTTGCTTCTGTGGCGTTAATTATAGCATCTCTTTTTCCACATATTTTTCCATGCGTATGTCTTTTGTTGTTTTTCAGCGAGGGACGTTCTTTTGTGAAAGCAGCGGAACGTTGTAAACGAATTCTCGCGCCTCTCACATTTCTTGTTGCCACGAATGTTTGACGAGATTATACGCCTATCGCTTGCAAAAAAACATTTTTGACGTTAACCAAAGACTTTGTTGATTGATATATATGTTTTCATTTACCAACAAATTGTGATCTCAGCAATTGAATCATTGTGATTGATCACACACAATACTAATAGTCTAAAGCCTCATTTATTTTACCAATTCGAGTTTTCAATTCTAATTTTGTTACAGTTTAAAGTTCTCATAAAAAAATTGCATCTAACTTTTCTGTTATAGTAAAAAATTTTCACATAAAATTACATCTCAACTTGAATTTGTAAATTAAACAAGGTTTAAATGTACAACAGTTCCAACGATAGAGTAATTTTTTGATAACGCATAGTATAAAAATGAAAAAACAAGGCTCAAAATCCAAACAGATGTAATCAAATTGGATTTTTGATACTTCAATCGGATCTAATAATCCAACTTACATTAAATCAAATTTTATCAAATTGATCAGCCATGTAATTATTTTCTCACCCTCACTCGTGGGCAGAAGAAAAGCCTGAAGTAAAAAGTGGGGACGGCGAGTATGTTTGGTAAGAAAGAAAAGTAGAAGGAAGAAAGAAGGTGGAGAAATTTTGGGAGGAAAAATAGAAATATAGGTTGTTTGGTAGGAGAGAAAAGAGAAAGGAAGAGAAAATGGAGTGGAAAATAATGCATGTGGGCCATACCATTTTTTCTTTCCGCAAGTGGGCCGAAAATGGAATAGAAAATGCAGACAACTCATTAAAGTGAGCAAAATTACTAAACTACCATTTTCTCCATTAGCATCCAAGTAAAAAATTTAAAGGTATAAAAGTAATTTACGAGTAGATTTTTTTTTCCTTCCAATTTAACTTCCAAACTAAACAAGTGAAGGTAAACTTATTTTCTTTCCATCTTCTCGTACCAAATAACATAAAAAAAAATTATCATTATTATTTTCTATCACTTTCATATTTTTTTTCTATTGTATTTTCTTTCCTTCCAACCAAACATAGCATAAAAAGCTAGAATCGCCAAAACTTGGGCCGAATTTCCTGAAAATGGGTTGGGTTGGACCCAAGTTTTCCACGGGAATCAAAACGCGGAAGGGCATTATAGTATTTCCAGATTATGCGATGACGAATCTCGACCAATGGGAAGCGAGCCAGACTAATGGAAATCTAAAGAGCGGGGGAGAAACGACATAGAAAGCGAAGAAATCAGACGGGAAAACCCAGAACACTCCTCCATTTTGTCGTTCGTCTGCGACTGTGGCAGTCTGGCACAGGAAATCGAAGTTCAAAAACAGAGAGAGAAATGTCGCGCGGTGCTGCTGGTGTTCCCGTCAGGACGCGTGTCGCCGCTGGATTCGCCGTCGTTTTAATCTCCCTCACCGTCGTCGCCCATTGCTCCAACAATGATTCCGAGGTAACGAACTAAAACGTCCCCCTTTTTGCCGCCTAGAAAATGCCAAAGAAACATATCATTGAAAATGACTCCTATCGGATCAGATGAACGATTAATAGCTGATTAATTTAATTATACCGCTTAAAACCTTTTCTTTTCTTTTTCCCGTGAAAAAAATTGATTCATCGTCTTTATGGACAGGTCAGATGCAGCAAAATCTGCGTTGCAGAGAATTGTAATTGTAAGTTGTGTGTGAATATACTTCAGAATGTGAGATTGATTCTAGTTTTTTTTTTTTTTTTTTTTTTTTTTTTTTTTTTTTTTTTTTGGTGAATTTAGCTGTGGGGATTCGATACGGAAAGTTCTGCGGAGTAGGATGGACTGGCTGCCCCGGAGAGAAACCTTGCGATGATCTCGATGCTTGTTGCAAGATTCACGACGAATGTGTCACCAAAAAAGGTTTGCTTTCTCCTTTGAGAAATTTATATTTAGGATTAATTTTAGGGAGTTTTTCAGGCAGGTGGCCCTACTAGTAATCTTAATTTTTAATTATTAAATTTGATTAAAATATATGAGATATGCAGATTTTATGTAAATTTGACGGTTAAAAAATAAAGAATTAACAGTAGTTCTTTTTTTTTAAGAGAATTAATCTGGTAGTACTAGAAAACTTTCAGTTTTTTTTTTTTAATTTTTTAACCATAAGATTGTAATAAAAACTGCACATTTTTCATACTTTTTAATATAATATTAATTTTAACTTGATTTAACGCTCATTGACACTATTAAAACCGGGAGAAACTCCCTAATTTTAAATGTAGTCTCTGATACAGATTAAAGGGAAACAAAATTGGTCTCGAAATTATGAGTAGTAACTTCAATAATTCTTTTATTAATGTGCCGTGCATGAATTCGAGCACCATATGGATCTCGATGTCACCATTGATACGGGCTCCTTGAATCTGAACCTCATTCAAGAAGTTGACCATCTTCAGAACATTATTATGAACTCCCTTGCCTTGTCTATTATGGTGTTATAAGCACCTTGCAATGTTGCTTTTCTTGTTGAGCAGTACTTTGCCCAAATATTTATCCAAGACTAGCCATAACTCAATAGCAGTCTCCATCATGCACTGTTCTTGGGTCCAAAGATTTCATATTTAACGAAACTTGTTGAAAAATAGAATCAACCCTGCATAATGGAGATTGTTGCGGGAATTTTGGCTAGCAAGCACGAGAGTTCACGATAATGTTCTAAAAAAAAAACATAAATTAGTATTCGGTAATAGTCTTATGTACATACGTTTTTCTTGCAGTGAATACTTGTGCCTTGTTTAAGTGAAAAAAGAAAAGGAAAAAAAAAAAATATATATATATATATAATATTTGTGCCTTATGGGCCAAATTATTGACACGAAAAATATGAAAGGATGATTTTTGGTGGGCCCTGTGGTCTTCAGCTCTTACATTTTGTTTTCTTTTCTGCCAAAAGTATACAAATGAAATTCCTGAGTCCTGACCGAATTTCATGTTTTCTTGTGGCTTTTTATCTTCTCTTTTTGTTTGTTTGTGGCTGCGATAGGATTAATGTTTGTCAAATCTAGTAAAATTTCTCTTTATTTATTGGCTGTTTCAGGTTTGACAAATGTAAAATGTCATGAAAAGTTCAAGAGCTGCATAAAGAGAGTGCAGAAATCCGGTAAAGTCGGATTTTCTCGAGTGTGCCCTTATAAGACAGCTGTGCCGACTATGGTACAGGGTATGGATTTGGCCATCTTGCTAAGTCAATTTGGTAACTCGAAGGCTGAACTTTGATTGAATCATGAGAACCCCACAAACCATCTAGAAGGCGCAAAAAAGAACATAAAAAGAATAGGAAAGGACATATAATTGAAAGCCGTTTTACAGAAATGGAAATTGCAGGTGAATTGGATTGATTTTCCTACCTAATTTTGTAGTATGTTTGTAGTTGTGATAAATCTTATATAGTTTTCTCCATAGAGTCATATTTCAAACTCAAAGTTGCGGAAATTGAATGCGTTGGCAAAATCAAGCTGTCTTTTGTACAGATTTGACAAGTATTGCTTCTAGCACTAGACGTACAAGAGATGTCGATTTAAATATCTAGGGACAGTTTTTTTTTTTTTTTTCCTTTCTTTTTTTGATATTGGAATCGAGGACAATGTTGGTACGATGACTAGAAAGGGTATTCATTTATGATGAAATGAAGAAAGGAATGTCATTACTTTACTCTGTGAATTATGATGTTTTTGTGACAGAAATTTGGTTATTTGTAGATTATGGCATCTTCCTTCCATTGTTTATGAGACGTATATATAATAGGATTATAAAAACTTTTTGGTCTTTGAATTATTTCTTTGCCTTTCGTGTATCCATGGACTTCCTTCTTTTTTTATGGTATGCGGATCATTTTTCTTTTTATTCATTTATTGTGGAGCCCCCAATTTGGAATATGATTAAAGTCTCTTGTGCGCGCTGATTATGAGAAGATAAATTGAGCAAAGTTCGATGTCTATAAGAATATCTCTATATGTGAGAAGCTTTATTATTAAAGCAAAAATTACACCACATAACGTGTTTATAAAATTGGAAAATATAGCAATTTGTTATAGAATACTTTTTAGGAATTAAAAAAATTACATAATAATTACTGTAATGATTGATGTTTTAATAATATAAATTTAGTAATTATTTTAATGATTTTAATTTTTATTACCTATTATTTATGGAATATTTTAAAGTTTTTATATTTCAACATAACTAGTAAAATTATGATATTTGTCTTACTCACCCAAAATTTAAAGCCTAAACTATCTCTTTGGTTCTTTTTTCCCCATGGAAATTGATTTAAGGTTTTTTTTTTTTTTTTTTTTTTTCGGTTAATAAGTGGATTTCGTTCAAGCCAAACCGGCAAAAGCAACAAAGGAAACATCCGAAAGCAGGGCAAGCTAGACAAAGGAAGAGTAGTAACATCAATATCACCAAAAACAGACGAGGCCAAACACCATTTAGCAAGATTATGAGCAGCAGAATTAGACGATCTTGGAGTCCAGTCGATGACGAAGTCCTTTGGAATAAGATCCGTCCTGCGGATATCATCCATAATCAATCTGCCACGCCAACTAGGAGCAGGGTGCGAGAGGGCATTTGCTACTGCTTGGCAATCAGTTTCAATAACAAGGCAGGAGATCTGTCAGTCCTTTTGCTTGAACAAGAGCTTCTCACAATGCGAATGTGTTTGGTACGAGGATTCGTGCTATGATTCGAATTATGATTCGTGATTTGCTAGAGCGTTTTTTCTCACAAAAAATACACGTAAACTGAGAATAATTCTAAATCATGATTCTGAATTCATAAACCAAACGTCCATTCCGGATCTGCAAGGTTAGGCCTAGTCGACAAGCACCAAAGGGTCTGGGAGAGAGTTCTATTACGAAACTGAACTGTTTCATTAAACTGAATAATAGTATACAACAGGATATATATACAGGATAGAAACAAACTTGCTGAGCAAGCTATAACTTGCTGAGCTGTACATATACTTAAACAGACTAACTAACTTGCTGAGCTGTACATATACTTAACAGACTAACTAACCTGCTTAACTTTTCTAGCTAACTCTAATACTCCCCCGCAAGATGGACTGTGAATATCAAGCACAACCATCTTGGATAAAAGTGGAAACAACAAAGAAGCAGGTAAAGCTTTAGTAAACACGCCTGCAAGTTGATATTGGGAACGAATGGGCATAAGCCTGATGAACCCTTCAGCAAATTTATCGCGAACAAAGTGACAATCAATCTCAATATGCTTAGTCCTTTCATAAAAGATCGGATTAGAAGTAATATGTAAAGCAGCTTGATTGTCACAAAAAAGAAGAGCTGGTGCAAAAATATCAACACAAAAATCCTTCAACAACTGCCTGAGCCAAACCAACTCACTGGCAGTAGCTGCCAAAGCTCGATATTCTGCCTTAGCAGAAGAGCGTGAAATGGTTGTCTGCTTCTTGGCTTTCCAAGACACCAAACAGTCTCCTATAAACACACAAAAGCCAGTAACAGACCTCCTTGAGTCCACACAAGAACCCCAATCAGCATCGGAGAATGCCTTGAGTTGAAGGGAAGAAGTGGAAGAAAAGAACAACCCTTGACCAGGAGTGGCTTTAAGATACTGAAGAAGGTGATGGACAGCTTGTAAATGAGGTGTCCGAGGCTGAGCTAAAAACTGACTTAGTTTATGAACAACAAATGTGATGTCAGGACGGGAAAGTGAGAGGTACAAGAGACGACCAATGATGCGTCTATACTGGGACACATCAGGAAGAAAATCTCCATCAGTGGCATTGAGCTGAAGATTAGGATCCATAGGGACTGTAGCAGGTTTGCAAGCCAGAAAACCGGTGTCTTCAAGTAACTGTAAGGTATATTGTCTTTGAGAGAAAACAATCCCTTTGGCAGACCGTGCAATTTTCAGGCCAAGAAAATACTTCAAAACCCCTAAGTCTTTAAGTTTGAACTGATCTTGAAGGAAGCTTTCAAAGAATTTATGACCGTGGTGCAAGGACCTGTGATGATAATATCATCCACATACACCAGTAATGCCACAAAAGAGGAACCCGAGCCTTTTGTGAACAATGAATAATCAGCTTTGGATTGAACAAATCCAAACTGAATGAGAGCATGAGAAAATTTGGAATACCATTGCCTTGAAGCTTGCTTGAGGCCATAGATCGACTTGTGTAGCTTGCAGACCATTGGCATGTCCTGTGCAAGTTGCTCCCCCTTAGGACCAAGACCCAGGGAAAGATCCATATAAACTTCTTCAAATAAGTCTCCATTAAGAAAGGCATTGTTTACATCTAATTGCACTAAATGCCAATCTTGACTTGTGGCAAGAGCTAAAAGCACTTTCACAGTAACTAGCTTGGCTACATGAGAGAAAGTATCAAGAAAATCCACACCTTATTGCTGAGTGTAACCCTTAGCAACCAACCGGGCTTTGTGCCGTTCAATAGAGCCATCAGATTTGTACTTTATTTTGAATATCCACTTACAGCCAATGGTATGTTTCCCTATTGGTAAAGGAACAACTGACCAAGTGTTATTGAACTCCATTGCATCCAACTCATCTTTCATGGCCTCTCTCTATTGCGAGAACTTAACTGCTTGATGATAGAATCTAGGTTCAAACTGAGAAGAGACATTCATGACAAGATTCTGATGAGATAAAGAAAGAGTATCATAGGACAAATATCGAGATAATGGATACAGCGTGGTACAAGTAGGTTGTTCTCGGGGAGACAACAAGTTGCAATGAAACTCTCTCAGATAAGAGGGAGGTTTAACAACCCTTGTAGATTTTCTGAGGGGAACAATAACGGGTGATGGTGAAACATCAAGCTGAGGGGAAGATGGGACAATTAAAGAGGATGAAGTGGTAATGGGAACCTCAAGAGATGGAATTAGCAGGACTAGGTCAGGGAAAAGATCAACTAAGGTATCCTTAGCAATAACAGAATGAAAAGGAAAAACCTCCTCATGGAAGACAACATCCCTGGAAACAAACACTTGCTTGGTTTGAATATCATACAACTTATAGCCTTTCACACCAACAAGATAACCAAGAAAAACACAAACCCGAGCTCTAGGTTGAAACTTTATGCGATGAGTAGAAAGAGTAGAAGCAAAAGCAAGACAACCAAAAACCCGGAAGAATGAATAGTCAATAGCAGTCTTATAGAGAGCCTCATAAGGAGTGTGATGTCTAAGTAATGGAGATGGTGTTCTATTGATCAAAAAGGCTGCACTAAGAATGCATTCATTCCAAAATTGAATAGGGACCCATGATTGAAAGTATAGAGCACGAGCAACATTCAACAAATGTTGATGTTTCCTTTCCACCACCGAATTCTGTTGTGGTGTGGCAACATAAGAGAACTGATGCAACACTCCATTCTCATTAAAAAAATCAGTAAAGACCAACTCCTTAGCATTATCAGACCTGAAGCCCTTGATTTTAGCATTAAATTGAGTGGCAACCATATTGAAAAATTTGGGAATGATAGCAGTCACATCAGATTTGTACTTAAGCAAAAATACCCAAGTAAAACGGGTGCAATCATCAACTAGAGTCAAGAAGTACGTGTGTCCTAAGTATGCAGTCACATGATTTGGTCCCCAAATGTCACAGTGAATCAAATCAAATGGAAGTTGAGACATGTGATTATGAGAAACAAAAGACAATCTTCGTTGCTTAGCTAAGGGGCAGATATAACAAGGATCAGCATTATTAAGCTTTGAAAAATCACAATTCAACTGATTTTTCAAAATGTCTAATCTTTTGGAAGATAAATGGCCAAGTCTATTATGCCAAACATGGACAGAAACATTATTGACATATGCAAAAGAATCTGTATGCGAAGAATATGTACTCAAAGACCCTGCATCAAGAACATAAAGGTCTTCAAGCTTGTCAGCCCTGCCAATCATCTTCCTGCTGTTGAGGTCCTGAATCATGAAGTGATCAGGAAAGAACCCAATTGTAAACTGTGTATCACTTGTAAGAGCACTCACAGAAAGCAAGTTAAACTTGAACTGTGGAACAAACATAACATTCTTGAGTAACAACTTCGAACTCAATTTGACATCACCACTGAAACTGACAGGGATACTAGTATGGTTTGGATAAGTAATTGAAGAATTCTGTATTGGACTCAGAGAAATAAACGCATTTGCATTTAAACAAATGTGCCTAGAAGCACCCGAGTCAACTATCCATATCTTAGTTGAAGAAAAGATAGGATTTAGTGAGACAGATGAGCATATACCTGTGGAATATGAAGCAGTGGGAACGTCCTGTTGCTTGTTGATGTTGACCGAGGAAGACAAGTGATCAGACAGCATTGTCATCAGTTGTTGATATTGATTATTATTGAGATTTTAGAAGAAATTGTCAATGCCTCTATTTCCTTGGTTATTCTTAGCATCAGAACTGGAGTGATCAGAAATTTGATTGGCAGCAACATTTTGATTATTGTTGAGTTGCTGAGGATTCCTCTGTCGTGGTTTGAAACCAGGAGGGTATCCATGAAGCTTGTAGCACTTCTGAATGGTGTGGCCATGAAAATTACAGTGAGTACAGAACGGTCTATCTTTCTTTTGACCTCATACCCCCCAGAATTAGGAGTATCAACATTAGTAAACTTCTTGGAATCATCACCCCTCGCAGCAAAGGCCATACTGTTGACTGAATCAGCACTAACATTTGTATAAGCGCTAACATTCCTTTGACGCTCTTCTTGAGAAATTAGAGAAAACACTTTGTTTATAACCGGAATAGGATCCATTAATAGAATTTGACCTTTGACTTGAGAAAAAGAGTCGTGTAAACCCATGAGAAATGACATGATATATTCCATCTGATAATACAAATTAAGTTGCTTGACTCCCCCACAGGTACACTTTCCACAATTGCAAACTGGCCGATAATTGCTTAGTTCCTCCCATATGGTCTTCAGTTTTGTAAAATACACGCTAACATAATTTTGGTTATGATTATGATTTATTAGGTCACAGCGCAACTGAAAGATTCTAGGTCCATTACTCTGTTGAAATCGGTCCTTAAGATCAAGCCAAATCTCAGAAGCAGACTCAGAAAAAATTATGCTAGCGGAAATCTCTTTCGACACAGAGTTTAAAATCCATGAAATGACAACATTATTGTTTCTGATCCATGAGTGAAGAAGGTTTAAATCAGTACCTTCAGGTTTCTGAATGGATCCGTCGATGAATCCGAGCTTGTTCTTCACCGAAAGAGCAATTATCATCGCTCGACTCCAGGAGGCATAGTTATCTCCAATCAACTGTTGCGAGACAAACGCAAGACCAGGACTGTCGGAATGATAAAGAAAATATGAACTCAAAGGATCAGCAATGGCGGACTTGCTAGATGCGGAGGTGAAATCACCAGATCTCAGAGTTCCCATGGAAATTGAAGAAGAAAAACAACCGAAAAGGGAAAAATGAAGGAACAATCAACAATCTTGAAGAAAATGTTGATGAAGAAGATTAAATCGTGAGTGAAATTGAAGAACACTCAACAAATTTGTGAAAGAAGAACAACAGTGGAATTGAGAGAAAAAAAAATTGAGCAGCGAATTAGCGCTCTGATACCATATTACGAAACTGAACTGTTTCATTAAATTGAATAATGGTATACAACAGGATATATATACAGGATAAAAACAAACTTGTTGAGCAAGCTGTAACTTGCTGAGCTGTACATATACTTAAACAGACTAACTAACTTGCTGAGCTGTACATATACTTAACAGACTAACTAACCTGCTTAACTTTTCTAGCTAACTCTAATAAGTTCCGAGCAACGACAGAAGCTACAGCATTCTCCACACCAAGGGCAGCATCAATATTTAGATTCACCCAATTGATTTAAGTTTTCTGTAACAAGTAAAGAGAGAAGAAAAAAAGAGAAAAAAAAAAAAAACCTCCTGGCTATAAATTAGATTAATTGTGTCGACTCGCCAACTTTTATGAGCTTGGAGGGGTATTTTGGAAAATGTCTCAACTCTTAATGGTATTCCCAAATCTATATATAAAAAAAAAAAAAAAAGATGGTCGTTTCTTAAGCTTGCTGAGTCAGTCGTCGGAATGAAAATGACGCGAAACGTGTATGACATGAATGCCATGACATGCTTTCGCTTTCCGTGATGTAAAGGCCAAAAGCCTGAAATTAAAGAATGATTCTTGTGAACAATGATTAACCAATTGCTACAATCTTTAACGCGTAGAAGATATTGGAGTTGTAAAAGAAAGAGGCAATAAAAACCACGACTTTTCATATGCGTGGAAGTTGGTTTATCAAACGAATCTTCGTTTTGTTTGTTGCTTGTTGGCTTTCTTGTGCCTGAAAAGTTGTCGTTTTCTCCAGCGAAGAAAACTGGTTGGTCATTAGGTCAACCGTCAACCTCCCCTTTGAGGCCTTTAAAATTCAACACCATAGACGACCTGTAGTTTTGGACCAATTTTACAATGTTCATCCAGAAAGTATTACTGTCGACAAACTTGGAAGTTAGGAGCATTTGGGACCATTATAAGATTAAATTCCCCATTTTAGCCTCATACATTATTCTTATAATGAGTCTCAACTTCCAACTGCCCACGCCAAAACTTAACTCATTCACATGTGGATGTTTCTAAACTACCTTTTTTTTTTTTTTTTTTTGTTGGTGGTAAGAGCTTCACATTCGGAAGTAATTATCTTTTTTCAAAGAATAAAATAAAATAATTTTTTTTCTCCCTTTATTCTCGTTCCATCTAACACTATTAAAGTCAAACTCCAATTTTTTCAGCACACTGAGAAGAAATGAAAGCGTCAGAACTCCATTTTTTATTCCGAAAGTTTATTAGTATTTAATAATCTATTAAGTCCAGATAATCAAGTCCAGGGATTATAATACGCCTTTTATTATTGTTATTATTAATATTATTATTGTTGTTGTTGGAGGGACTATAATAAACTGCGTTATAAAATAAAAGGTCTTCTCTCATTTTTTTAACAGATATTTTATCCTTATCAGTTCTTATTTTTTAACCCAGTCTTCTCTCATGTTTTTTTTTTATATATATTTTTTACAGATATTTTATCCTTATCAGTTTTTATTTTTTAACCCATAATGCGCAGTGGGAATCAACACCTTTCTTCTTCTTTATCTATTTTCCCCCAGATGGCATCTTTATTTATTTTTTAAATTAGTATCATGCCTTTGGATTTAACCTTTGAAGCACTTGTGTACTCTTTCTTTTTTTACTCAAAAATGGATTTGGTGATGCATTTCATATCCCCCTTCGACTATAGAAACCATCCTAAAGATCACTGAGTATGTGAAAAGGGTCTGAACAAATTTTACACTGACTATTCAATCAGTTTTTACTCTCCTTCATCATGTGGACACTGACTATTCAATCAGTTTTTACTCTCCTTCATCATGTGGGGTCCGCGGAAGCATACTTAATTTCTTACAAAGAACATAATAGTAACGCACGAATATAGAATATCTAATCTTAAAAAAATGAATAAAAAAGACCTAATAAAAATGTCCTTACCACTACACTGTGTGACCCTCGGTGGTTAAGCACTTGTGTACTCCTATTGATCTTCATTTCATTTTCATTAAAGGTCCAATAAAAAATATTATATTATTAACATCCATTTATCCCGATTCCCATTTTGGAAATCACTATTCTCGATTCCATCAAAAATAAAAAAAAATACCCTTATTACTTCAAAGTTAAGAAAAAGGAATTCTTTAAAAAAATAAAAATAAAAGGACAAAATGCTGGAAAATACAAAATTTACTATAAAAAGATGTTTTTCCCTTAAAAAGGACAATTTTAATTTCAGCAAAAAAAAAAAGACAATTTGATCTATTTATTAATTTATATATTTTTTTGTTGAAGTTTAGTTTAGAAAAACTTTCATTAAATATTAATTAAGAATTTTCTCGATAAGACCTCTCAATTAGAGTCACTTTTAAATATCAAATGTCAAAATTAAATTAAATTAAAAAATATGTAAATTGTCGTATCAATAATTTATTTTTTTAGTTTCACATGAGAAACTCTCGTATTAATTGTCAAAAAAACGGAAAGAAAATTTACTTCCCCTAAAAAAGAAAAGAAAAAAAATTTACTCAAACAAATATCTGAATAACATCTAAAATCTAAAAAGAAAAGAACAAGAAAGTTTTTATTACCTAAAAAAGAGAATATTTTAGGGGACACGAAAATACAATTTAGGGAGTTTCGTTATTCATACCACCGGGAAAATATATAATTTAGGGGGCGTTTGGTATGGAGTAATCATAAGGGTGGGAATGAGAATCTTTCAGATTCTCATGTTTGGTACAATTATTAGACTTTTTTAAAACCCAAGAAAGTAAAGCCCATGGGTTTCACATTACCTCATTTTGGGGTAATCCTAATCCCACCCAATAAGGTGTTATTCAAATTCCCAAAAATCTCAAAATCATGGGAATCTCATAATAATAATAATAATAATAATAATAGTAATAGTAATTATTATTATATTAATAATAATAATAACAATAATAATAATAATAATAATAGTAATAATAATAATAATAATAATAATTATTATTATTATAATTATAATTATATATAATAATAATAATTTTATTATTATTAATATTATTATTATTATTATTATTATTATTATTATTATTATTATTATTATTATCATTATCATTATCATTATTATTATTATTATTATTCATTTAAAAAAATATTTTTTTTAATTCACTAACATTTTCATGCACAATTAAACACAGTAATGTAATATTCTTAGGAATTTGAGAAAGATTTTTGTATGGAACCAAACACAATAATGTATTATTCTTAGAAATTATATTACCCTCCATCACTTTTCTGGGAATATGATTCTTTATGATTACCCCATGACAAACGCCCTTAAGGGACACGAAAAGGGCAAAATAGTCAGAAAAGTACTAAACTTAACCTTTGATTGCCATTTACGAATTAATCGTTTTCTTACGAGAAAAAGTCTTTGTTTTCCTCTCGGGATTCAATTTCCGCGAAACTCCAAAGTTTCCGACTCGTTTTCGGTTTCCTTTGTCTTCTAATTCAGTTTCAAAATTCGCTTCCTCAGGATCCGAAAACTCCATAATTCTTAGAAAATTTCCTTCTTTTTCCGTGATTCTCTGGTGGTCTGAACTTCGATTCCCAGTTTTCGATTATCAATAATGCTTCACAGGAGCTTCAAGCCGGCCAAGTGGTAATTCTTTCGATTTTTTGTTGATCAAATTTGGGGAAGTGGATTTTGAACTGTTGTATTGACGAGTTTATGGCGTGTTTGGCTGGTTTTTGATGCAGCAAAACGGCGCTGAAGCTTGCCGTATCGCGAATAAAGCTGTTGAATAACAAGAGAGAGGTTCAGGTGAGGCAGATGAAGAGGGAGTTGGCTCAATTGCTCGAGTCTGGCCAAGTTCAGACTGCTCGAATTCGGGTATAATCGCTTAAAGTTTCTTTCTTTTCTGATTTAATTTGAAAAAAAAAAAAAATTCAATTCTATAACGGTGTGATTTATAGTAAAGTTGTATAGATTGAAGGGACAGTAGCTTTGGTCGAAAGATTGTTTATGTCTTTTTCAAGAACAACAACAAGCCTTAATCCCAACTTAATTGGTCTTTTTCAATAACAAAAAAAAAAAAAAAAGCTGCTGTTAAGGGGGATTGTTTATGTGTTCTGTTGTAACCTTAAAAAAAAAAAAAATTGAAGAGTAGTATTATTTACTTTGAGCTCTAATGAGGCTGAGGAGAAAATTTAGCCAGAATTGAACTTCTTGTTCTGGTTTATTTTATTCCTTTTGGCATATGTTTTGAGTACAAAATTATGGTCATTGAGATTTCATATTGCGAATGGTCCTTTGAGTTCTATGGACTTGGTATGTCTCAGGTTGAACATGTGATCAGAGAAGAGAAGACAATGACAGCATATAATCTTATTGAGATATACTGTGAGCTTATTGCGGCGCGCTTGCCCATCATCGAGTCTCAAAAGTATGCATTTTTTTTATTGTGTTTAGCATATCTGGTTTTTGTAATTGGTGGATAGTTATTTCAGTTACTAGTTGGTCTTGTCAGTTAGTTGTTCTTTTTGTTTGTCAATAGCGTTGTGTTCATTCATTCATTCGTTTTTTCCCCACCACCAGAAACTGTCCGATTGATCTGAAGGAAGCGATTTCAAGTGTAATATTTGCATCTCCGAGATGTGCAGATGTACCGGAACTAATGGATATCAGGAAGTATTTAACAGCAAAATATGGAAAGGAATTTGTTACTACAGCTATCGAATTGCGTCCAGATTGTGGCGTAAATCGCATGGTAAGTTTGTGCGTCTCATGCAACTTTCATGGATAGTTGTTATATGGAAAATCAGTGTGAACAAATAATGGCAGTAGACGCTGGAAATGTAGAAGTGTAGTTTATTGTTAATTTTATTGTCTACTTTTGCAGTTGGTGGAGAAATTATCTGCCAAGGCACCCGATGGTCAGACCAAGCTTAAAATCTTAACTGCAATTGCAGAGGAACATAATGTCAAATGGGATCCTGATTTATTTTCTGGGAATGATTCTATGCCTCCCCAGGACTTGCTGGTAAGAGCAAATCAGTTTTATGTTATTCCTTTTTGTCTTTGACTAGTCTATGTGGTTCCTCTTAGCAAATCACGTGTATTTCTTGTATTTATTCCTTTTGGTGGTCGCTCCCGATTGATGCAATCTTCCAATATATGAGCAGAATGGACCGAATACTTTTGAGGCTGCGAATAAAATTCACAGTGAAGCTCCTTCTGGCCCCGCTGAACCTATTCATGATGATAGAGGACCACCTAATGTTCAAGCTCCACCAAGGCACAGCGAGAAGCAAGATGAATATGTAAAATTCAATGAGCATAACAGGAGAATGTCATCTGGCTCCCAAAATTCAGCTTCTACAGGTGTTGCTACCACCATGGCAACAACATCTGCTACGTTCCATCCTGATTTGAGATCTTCAGGTATGTAAAGCATTCACCTGAGGATTGTGATTTGTTATTAGTTAATTATGTTTCATGGCTTAGCTGGTGGCACTTCTGAGCTTCTGAATTTTTGCTTGGTCTGGCTTCTTCGCATACTCGAATTGATATTTGGGCTGTGTTATCACGCAGGAAGTGGAACTGAATGGGTGGAATATAAGCAATCATATCTTGGAAGTGAGAATGCTTTTCCTGCAGGTAGACAGAACTGGAACATGGAATTTAAGGATGCTGCCTCTGCCGCACAGGCAGCTGCTGAATCTGCTGAATTAGCAAGCATGGCTGCCAGAGCAGCTGCAGAACTTTCTAGGCAGTACTCCTCGGAATCACCAAAGTCTTATGGTCATGTTCCAAAAGATCAACGGCCCCATTTGTATGCTGACTCAAAGTTGCAGAGTCACCATGTTGCCAAAGATGCAGAAAATGATGTCTTCCGTGGAAGACATTCTGGAATACGTGGTGAGCGTACTGTTGACAAGGAACAGGAAGAGTTGGCAGGGCCAGCTGGAAGCTTTGTGGGAGATGGTCATAGGAACAATGATAGATTCAACAAGGCATCTTCCTTGAAGTCCAATAAAACTTCCGTTGATGATGTTAGATTGGTGAATAATATTCAAGCAGTAGATAGACATTCTCGAAGGAAGTCATCTGACTCTGATAATGTTGACTTTTTAGATGAGGCAAGTAAGAAGAAACAGTCCAGTGAATCTGATTTGAAATATGTGGCCAAGAAACTAGATTGCATGAAGCCTGAAGAAACTGCTTATATTGATGAAAAAGTGACCAGAAAACAATCTAGTGGCATTTCACGACATTCTCATTCGAGTTCGTTTAGTGATGACCAGGAGGATATTTTGAGAAAGAATGACGATGTTGCTTATTATGGGGACATGAGGACTGAAAAACAATCTAGCAGGGCTTCTTCCCGTTCTCATTCAAGCAGTTCCGGTGATGTTCACGGAGACATTTTTAAAAGAAATGATTTTAGTCAGGACCCTTTTGTTCATGATGACAGAAGCATATATAGAAACACTTCCGAAATAGATTCTAATGAGTACACTGCAGTGTTTGATGATTATGGTTCTGATGATGGTAACGATAAACTTGAGATGGGGAATTACAAGGAACAAGAAACAAGTTTGAATTTTTCGTCTCCAAGGAGAAACACAGACAAAGGACTAGGAAAGTCCATTTCACAGTCACATCAATCTGTGTTTTCTGAAATTCCAGAAGGTTCTAGTTTCCCTGCACAATCAGATGATATGCCACCTGCGGCTTTTGATTATTATGATAGCCCAACTTCCGACAATGAAGAAGATTTTCACAAGTCTAAGCTTACTGGTAGTACGGAGCTTCATAAATTTCCTTCTGAAAAGAATGTGCACTCTAAAAGTTCTGAGCCGGTGCAAAGCGAAGAACATATTTCAGTTGGATCATCCTTCTCTGAAGACAGAAATGTGGGACCTAAGAGAAATCCATGGTTGCCAACCTCTTCTGTTGATCTGCAGCCCAATGAAGTACTTCGTGATAGAAGAAGCCAAGGAATCAAATCTAGTCATACATCTGAGAAGAAATTTGATTATGCTGTTGAGGATACTCTGGAAAGTGCCACAAAAGATACTGAACTTCTAAATGAATCTACTTCTGAAATTGCGAAGGAGCTGAACTTCAGGACATTGACAGGTGGTCTGCGGAATAAGGGTAATAGGCGTCCACCATATATGAGGAAACCATCAGAAAACTTTCTGTCAGTCAAACAAGCCACCGAGGATACTAATACAGAGAATGACCAATCTACCTCTTCTTCAACAGTCAGGAGTTCAATTAGGAGTACTGGCTATCAAGAGCCACATAGTGAGGAAAGCAACGCAACACTAGACAAGAAGGTTAGCGTGGCTGCCTTTGCCAAACATGTAGATTCTGATGATGATCATGTGGAAGAGGAACACCAGCAAGAGACTAGCATCAGTAAGCAGCAGCTGTACAATCAGAAATCAGGTAGTGAAGTAGATAAAAAATCGAGCTTAAGAGCCTCACGCACTTATTTTGATTCGGATTTGGACAATAGTGATTCTGACGAAGATCATCCTAGACGGACTTCCTCCAGAAATGCTCGTCCAGGCGCTGGATTGTCAAGGAGAACAAAGGTTTCTTCTTCCAACTCTGGTAGAACTAATTCAAAGACTACTGTTTCATCTTTGGAATCTAGGACTGCTAATTATAGAGCCGAAGGCATGTCATCTTCAAGTAGTTCTACTGTCAAGGAAACTTTACCAAAGCCTTTGTCAGAGACCAAAAGCTCCGATAATTCAGGAAGCTGGGAGCGGCATAGATTGGTGGAGCAAGATAGTTCTAAACCAATGCCAAAATCAAGGAGATCCTCCCGCATAGAAAGTTCAAAGCCATCTACAAGAGAACAAACCTCCAATTCTCTTCCAAAGAATGCAACATCTGGGGTCACTGGAGCTTCAAATTCCCCAGTAGTCACTAGAGAGAATTCTTTAACGGACAGTACAAGTCATGTTCATCCGAAGCTTCCCGACTCCGATGCCTTCACTGCTTACTTTCAGTCTCTCCGACAAACTCGCGAGTGAACATAGTTGCACATTCTCACATATACAGCTTGTTATCATGTTTGATTTTCTTTGATATTGTGCATGGTTATATCAGTTCAAAATTTTTGATCTTAAGAGTGGAGAGAATCTTGATTTTAACAGGACATGTACCATATTACTTTCCTGTTCTGTCGAAATCGAGTCAAACGCACATAGTTCTTTTATTTGTTTATGTATTTTTACACGATTACCTTACAGAGATTACGTTGCTTTAACTGAAGACTGATGTAGTGAAATAAAAAAGTATTCTTCTATTTTGAGTTTGGAGCATAAACGAAGTTATTAGCTTTTTATGACCTTGCATTGCATATGTTGTAATTGTCTCAGTTTCTCTCTCCTTTAATAATATAATAATACGAGTCACCATTAACTAGATGGTTTATTATAACGCAATAAGTGTAGAAAAGCTCTTTAAAAAAAAAAAAAAAGTCCTAAGTAGGTCTATAATGTCTGTCTTTTATTGTTGGATCTTGTCAAAATAACGACATCAAAATAAATAAGAAAAATACAGTAAATAACAAATAAATAGGAAAAATACAGTAAATAACAAATACTATTGTAATTTATATCGTATTTTTTTACTCTTAGTAAATTATAGCATATTTAGAATTTTCATTATAAAACAAATACTGATTTTCTAATTTTACCCTTGTCTCTTAGGATTTGATTTTTTTTTTTTTTTTTGGGTCACAAAACACTCAGGCCCCTTTATCAGGCCCTCTCTCTCATCCTTCTCCGATTCTCTCTCTCTCATCCTCCTCCGATTCTCCTATCTCTGCTTGGCGAGCGTTAAACAAGCTAATAATCTTATAAAAAGGATATTAGTCTTTTTGTATTTGAGTTTGAATCCAATAAATACTATATTTATCAATAAATATTTCATTAAATTTGAGTTTGAATATGGTAAAAATTGTATTTATTAGTAAATATTTCACTAAATTCAATTCTCAATTTAGTAAATACTGTATTTACTAATAAATATGATATTTACTGGTATCAGAGCCGGTCGCTAGATTTTTTGAATGGATATGGTAAATGTAATATTTATCGATAAATACGGTATTTACCAGTTGTCGGAACCGGTCGTTGGATTTTTCTAATGGATATAATAAATGTGATATTTATCGGTAAATACGATATTTATCAGTCGCCAGAGCCAGTCGTTAGGTTTTAGAATGAATATGGTAAATATGGTATTTACTAGTAAATATGATATTTACCGGTAAATACGGTATTTATCAGTCACTAGAGCTGCGAGCCGGTCACCAAATTTTCAGATAAATATGATAAATATTATATTTACCAGTAAATAAGTATTTTTCAGCCGCCGGTGTCGGTCATGGTGGACTAGACTAGAGGAAAAAAGAGAAAGAGGTAGGAAGGAGGCTTACAGATATTTTTGAGTTTTTAATAATGTTTAAAATTTAAAATATTAAATTATGCTATAATCTACTATTTAAAAAAATATTATAATTTACTAAACACCCTACCAAATATGTTATTTTCTTCATTTTTTTAAATAAAAATATACGAAGAATAAATCGTTTTTAATACAAATTTGAACATTAAAGTTAAAAACTTTTAGTAGTTTATTTTTTCAAAACCTATTCTAGAAATCTAAAAAAAAAAAAAAAAAAGAAAGAAGAAAAAAAGTAAAGCAATAGTCTAGGAAAAGCGACAATCTAGGAGCGCCGTAGGGAGTGGATGGCATACCATTTCTTTTTTCCCCCCCTCAAGTGGATGTCATATTTGATTATTTGAATGCAGAATAGACTCTTGTATCTTCTTATTTCTGGCTTTTTATTCGGGTCTTTTTGAGGCTGTTGAGTAGCTCATTTTTTGAGTTAAAAACTAAAAAAAAAAAAAATTTTAGTTACAATTTTATTCAAGTTCATATTCTTTTAAGTTTGAACTCGAGTTTGGAATTAAAACTCGAGTTTAAGTTTTTCCTTCAACTCGAGTTCAGAAACTCGAACTCAAATTAATGAATAATCTTTTTTATATTCTTAAAAATGCTATAATTTTTTCGTTTTAATTCCGATTTAGATGATTTTTTTTCTATGCGTTGACAACGAAAAGACGAATAAAATCCTACCCATATACTCTATTAAAATTTTTCATTAGCATTGAGTTTTTATTAAAATATTATCTAAATACAAATTTAAGTTTTGACTCACTCAAATACAAACTCAAAAAGATTCTTATCTCAAATCATAACTCAAATGTACACAACTAAACACAAACTCAAATTACAACTTCAACTCAAATTATAACTCAAACTCAACTCAAAATCTACACTCAAATCACTTAACTTAAAAAGAACAAAAGAACAGCCTCTTTCATTTTTTAGCTTTTTATTCGAGTTCTTTTAATAATAACACGATAATTAAAATGCCATATCATCTAAAATTTTGTACAACGTAATTGCTCGAGTCTTTCAGCAAAAAGTGAAGAAAGGAGTTACAGTCAACGACTTGTACCATTTATTGTCGTTTTAACGTTATAGTCTTACATTTGGGTTTTTAATTTTCATCCTTCTTTGTTGCGTTTGTAAAAAGAAAAAACTAAAGAAAATCAGAATCCTTTTATATATAGCACTCCACGGCCTCAGAGACACCACTCTTGTCAGATCTCCCTATTGTAAACTTTCTGTCACGCCGCCTTTATTCTTTTCTTGCATTTCTTTTATATTGAATTTCATACGAATACCTTGACCATCAACAGTAAAAAATATATGGATAACGTCTTTAAAATAATTTTATTTTTAATATAAAAATAAAAATGAGATTATTTTGAGAGAAATCAATTCTGAAATTACGTTAGTTGATTTTTAAGAGATTTTTGAGTATAATAAAAAAGTGAAATCGTATTTGATTATAATTATTAATTATTATATTATAACATTGTTGTTAAGTACTAGAAAGTAAAAAGGGAAAAAAAATAACTTTTAATTATTTTTTAATTCCTTTACAAAAATTATTCTCACTGTTTTTTATTTTCATTTTCATTTTCAAAACATTTGTTAAACAAATACGGTTTGTAACCGTTTTTATTTTTGTGTCTCAAAAAATGTGCAAAACATTTTTGAAAATAATGAAAAACCAATTTCAAACGCACTTGACGTTTGTTACTTTCTTTGTCGTGCATTTGTAGTTTGTACATCATTTTGCTTGTTACTTTTTTCTTATTTAAACATCGATATTTGTCTGTTTGTTTATGCTTTTAAGATTATCTTCTGTAAATTTAAATAGACTTTATCCGGTAGGTCGACATACCGGCTGGACCAATTTTTCTAATAGGTGGATGTGCATATACCAAATTTGAATTGATATTTTTGTATTCGATGATCTCTAATGCATATATCTGATATGTCTAATCATATTCATGAATTAGATTATTAGAAACACATAATAGATTTCTCCAATTCGGATTACTTCAAAACTCAATTACAGGTCATTTCCAAGACATAAACACGACACAAACGCATCAAGTCCTCCCCCTCTCTCTCTGTCTTGAGAATCCGAGCTCATTAATAGTAGATTATTTAGACATTCATTTTTAAAATTGATAGGACAATAACATCGTATTCTTTTATAATTTCCTGCCTGACTCTACCATACCACAAGATGTAAAGTTCAAATCCCCCACCCTAAGTTCAAATCCCCCCCCCTGAAAGTTTTTTTTTTTTTTTTTTTTTTTTTGAAAGAAACTCCTTTTATCCTTTTCCTTTCTTCGCCTCCACATGCTTTTCTATCGAGAATATTCACTGGATTCAATAGGTACACTTCAACTTATATTCCATGGACAAAGAAGCTAAAAAGTAACATTTTCTTAGACACATTTGATTAATGTAGTCTTGTAATATACCTTTGTTAGGTTCTACCAAGTGGTATTACTTTATCATTTTGTCGCTTATTGCTTCTTTAGTTTTGTTTGAGCATTCCTATGTGTCCCGATGGGGTTAAATTCCTATCAGACACAAGAGGTGGGCCCCGCTGGTGGAGTGCATGTGGGAAAAAGATATGGTGATCGATAGAATAAGGAAACTTTACCTTAGCTAAACATATGTTGTATTACAAGGAAAAGCTTGCAATAAGTTGTCAAGTATGTGTATATGTGTGTGTGTGTGTGTGTGTGTGTGTGTGTTTTCCAAAGGAATGTTTAAGTTTTCAAAATAAAGAGCTGGTTTAATAAGAAAGCTTGTTAGACTGACATCATTCTGATGCATGGATTTCAGAATTCTTGTGCGTTAGAGAAAGAATGGATCAAGACCTCATGAAGACAACACCTGGAAAAAGTGTCCCGCCCCCACATATCTTGAAGACTGACTGAGGGCTGCGACTGCAAACCACCCAAGGCAGAGTTTACTAGTCTCATTATATTTTTCTCCATCAAAATATAGTGTTCTTTTCTATTTTGTTTAATTTCGATCGAGAAGATTGTATTTTAGGTAAATATGATATCCTAGTCCAGATTTTCCCCCAAAGCCATCTATCATAGAAATAAATTAGGAAGTGGATTTGTGACCCTCTCCTTTTTCTTTCCCTGGACTTTTCCCTTGCTCTCGCATATAAGGAGGAACATCGCAGCTTCGGCCTTTTGTTTTTAATTGTAATCCTAGTATTCTTTAAAGAGTTAAAATGTTTGCTTTGCTGGCTTTTCACAAAAAAGATCAGTACTTGTGATGTGGTGCAGAGGAAAAAACACATACATGGTTATTTATCCATCCTCCTGGTGTGTAACGGTTTGTATTTTTCAGTGGCTAGAGAACTGTTAAACAAGTTAACTAGGGAAGCTGGATTATATTTCAGAAGGCTTTCCCTGGAAATAGTGGCTCTTTAATGATGGAAAGACCTGTTAGTTTTGGGTAGAGTAAGATTGGCAGAAAGGTGATGTGGAAGTATGAGGTGTTGGTATACTCTTCGGATTATTTAGATGGAAGAGAATGGAAAGATTTTCGAGGAAATAGATCAAGATGCAAGTTTTCTCTTTGGAAGAGCTAGATTCTATTATCACTGCTATGATCATTTTAACTTAGAAGAATTTTTCAAGTCACTAGTGTGTGTGTTTATTTTTTTGTCTTATAATTGTTCTTTTATGTTTTGTCTTTGAGCACTTCTTATTCTCAAAAGTCTTAATTACTAATAGTTCCCACAAGAAGAGTGATGAGTTTATAGCTTTAACCATTGCAACTAACAATTTGCAGGGCCTTTTTTATGGAACTTCACCAGACGCTGCTCAGTCGATGGGCATGATACTGAAGCTAGTGAACGCAGAAAACACAATAGAAGTTGGAGTCTTCACTGGATATTCTCTTCTCCTAACAGCTCTTACAATTCCTGACGATGGCAAAGTTTGTATAAGTATACATAATATCCATCTCCAATTTGACTGATATTTGTATTTACATGCATACAGCAAGACATATTCATACTTTATAACATGTTTACAGATAACTGCCACAGATATCTACCGGAGAACATATGATGAGATAGGCTTGCCAATCATCAAGAAAGCTGGTGTCGAACACAAAATCGACTTCATAGAGGCCCCCGCTTTGCCTGTTCTCGACAAACTCTTAGAAGATGTAAGCATTATTTCACTTTTTTTAGTTTCCTGCTTCTGAATATGTGACTTGTGAAAATTTCATGTTGGTTGCAGCCAGAGAAGGTGGGGCGTTTTGACTTCGGCTTTGTGGATGCGGACAAGGGTAATTACTGGAATTACCATGAGAGGCTAGCGAACCTGGTTAAGGTTGGCGGTGTAATTATCTATGACAACACGCTGTGGGAAGGATTTGTTGCTTTGCCAGAAGAGTATTTTTCGGAGGAGGAAAGGATCACTAGGAAGGACATGATTGAGTAGAACAAGTCCCTCGCAGCCAATCCTCGTGTTGAGATTTCTCTCGTTTCGATTGGTGATGGAATCACCATTTGCCGGCGCATTTCGTGAAGATTTCTCTTCCCAACTCCTGAGGGTGATCATAAGCTTGAATAAAAGAATTCTGTCAAAGTCTCTGCTTTCATTGATGAATGTGTTGGATTAAAAGCATTGTTATTTAGTTGAATACACTCACCATGATGTTGTGATTTAGAGTTCAAATCCTCTGACCTCAAGTTCAGAAAAGCATTGTTATTGTTGTGTAAATTGCTACGCAAGTGTACGTACCGAATAAGTAATAAAGTGTACTGGAATACGAATATCATTTCTACAAAAATTGAATCACTATTAATATAATGTAAAAATCATGCAAACACCAAATTAAGTGAAAGAATAAACTAAACAAAAATTCACTAAAATGATGTAAAGAGATAAGTGTAATATAAATGAAGCCAAATGTGATAGAAATGATAAAAATGTAGCTACGGGTTGTAATCAGTGATTTAAACAAACTAGGATTGCTAATTTCCCTTCAATTACAAGTATGACAGTAAATACTACAGGAAATGATATAGCGTTATTACCCCTATTAACTGAAACTTAATTCCCTGCATAAAATTCTTTCGAATTAATTATAACTAAAAATTTTTTAAACTATTTCCAACATGTTCCTATGTGAATCTAGTTCTCATAATGTAAATTTTAATACAAGTTTCAATAAATTATGTAAGATGAACAATATATTTCTATACCATTCACAAATCAACAAACTTAAATAAGAATATTAAACTTGCACCATCCATATTAAATCCAATTCAAATTAACCTTCTCAGTATTAATCTAAGTCTTATATCCTATAATTAATAGTCGGTTAAAAATAAAAATAATCAATCAACAGATGAATATGAATAAAATCAGTAAACATTCTACAAAGAAATTATCTTTCTTACAACCTTGATTTCATTAATAATATTAACTAAAAACAACTTAGCTCATGATTGAATTTACAAAAATTAAATTCTTAGTATAATTCATTGTTCAATAAAATTGCAAACCCGAAAGAAATTAAATACAACGGGAAGATAGAAAAGAGTTCAGCTAATTTAGAGCTTCAATCTTTTTCTCCTCCTTTCCTTTCAAGCGAGCTTCCATTGGATGAAGAAAGCTGGAAAATTCCTTCTCTGAGTATTGGTCCCCTTTTCTTCTTCCTCTATGTTCTGTACCGATTTATCTCTCTTTGTTTTATTTTTTTTCTTTTTTTCTCTCTCACAAAAAATGGCATAAAGCCTTATTAATGCTTCTCCTTTTTTGCTTTCGGTTTTCTCTGGCTCTGTGCGCTGAGTTAAGGGAGTAAGATAGCTTCCTGGTGGCTACAAAAGGGTGGGATATTAATCCCTCTGAGAACCAACGCCAAGGACAAAGCCTTAGGGCTGGTGATGTAGCTCTTCCACATGGCGAGAACTGAGTTGAAGGAGAGTGTGGTGGACAGGTGGCAGCACAGGGCTGGTGAAATGCGTGGGTGCACAGGAATTAGGTGAGGCACAATGCGAACAAGCTGTAATCAGTTCCCAATTTTAATTTCCTTGATATTTTTTACCCATTTTAACTTTATCTTTTCAATTTAACTCATTTTTCTTTATACTTTTGACCCCGTATCATTTCAAACTTTTCACTTAAACCCTACTGTTACACAAATGAAAATATTAATTATTTTGGAAGGAAAAAAAATAAAAATTACAAAAAGTAAAGTAAATAAACTAAAATAAATTAAAATTAATCTAAAATGAAAAGTAAATTTATTAAAATTCAAAATAAAGTAAATTAAATTAAATTAAATTAAAAATTTCAAAAACTAACCACTTTAAAGCACAAAAATAATAAAATAACTCTACTTATAATAGAGTTATCAGTTATTTATATAGAACTCTCTATGGTTTTGTACGCTTTCCCAGTTTCTAAAATTTATCCTGATCTGATGTCTGAGAAATCAGTATCATAACTATTTAAGTATAACACATACAACCCATCTGAAGCAGGAGTCAGGAGACCACTTTAGCCAATGTCATCACCTGAAGAAACGACAGTAACCAGCTCAAGTAGATAAAAATTTGACGCTGCTTTTGGGTTTTCTGACGATACGTGGTGGAAAATAGAATTTAGTAGCTTAAACCTGACATGGGATATTTTTTATATTTTCAAATTACTCACATATGTAGCTAGTAGAAGCAGGCAACTTCCCTTTTTCTTTTCTTTTAAAAAAAAAAAAAAAAAAGAATGAGTTCATTAAAGAAGGCACAAAGCCAAGCAAAAACAAAAGCAGAATAAGAAACTATATAAGAAAGTGGTCAAGGTGGGCAACTTGCACACAAATTGGGCAGAAGTCTTCGTCACATTATTAGTTGCTATATCTACCTTCCAGGAAGAAATTGGCTTCCGACATTTTTTATTTTATTTTGACGAATGACTTCCAAGTACTTACTTTCCTTGACCATTCTGTAGTATAAGAGACGCGCACTAGTTGACCAATGCTGATCAAAGCTTCGATTTGTGCTAGTTAAATATGATTATGTTGCTTATAAGTTGGAAATATACCTTACACGCATGCTATTTAACGATGAAAATAATCAAAAGCCTTTATCACTGAATAATGTGAACGCAATGAAAAAGGGAATAAACTTCAAATAATAGATAAAACTGAATTCGGACGTATTTGTTGAAAGTTGAAGAGAAATTGAATAACAACTTAGATTTCGATCTTAAAAGGTCAAACTATTAACTTGAAAAACCTTTAGTTTTCTCCCGAGAACCTTAATCCCCTCTCCCGAAAAGAGTTAGAAAAATAAACACTACAAAATGATATGACTCACTGAAAATCTGAGATTCAAAAGGCATACTGAGACCATTGTGAGATTCAATTAAATAACTAAAAAATCCAACTGTCAAAGATCTTCAGTGCAGTTCGCTGTCAACAATCTGTTGCTGATTCTGTTGCAATAATTTCTGCAATAGAGTTGTTAAAAACTGATCCAAAGGCCAATAATGTTGCTTCTTGAAATCTTCCCATATAAGACCACATGAACCTAGACGTATTCTTTTGAAACATGGGTGATTCGATCATCACAATAAAATCTCAATCACAAATCAATTATTCCATCAATTTTCAACTTACCAAAAAAGACTGAAAGTTGACACTCACCAAATCAATCCAAATTGATTCTCCATGTACCTGGACGACTTAAGCAGCATATCAATATCTTTACTTTCAGCAAATCAATCCATTAAAACCAAAGTTTCCAAATCCTGCAATAGTTGACTTCTTAGGTATAGAAATGCAATTCAATTCAATAGACTTTCCTAAAACAGTTAACCAGAAAAACAGAAAACTTCTAAATCAACACCCGCAGCAAATCAATTTGTAAAATAATGCCAATAAAACAAATCTAAAATTCCCAACAGTTGTATTGTATTGAACTGTACTATTAATACAACACGCGTTTGGTCTAAAATGTAGCATTTGTAATCTGGAATTCTCTTTGTATTAAGAGTGATTATTTTGGCCACAGAGATAACCGTGCAATGGCGATATTTTTTATTATCTAATAGAAAATTTTGTACAAGGTTTGAATAAAAGAAAATGTTGTATTTATTCAAAGTTGTATAATATATCAAACCGATTTTAAAAAATTTATTGGATTATAAATAAAGGAACAATTGTAGTAAAGAATGCATTAACTATTTGGTGCTGATTAAGTTGAAATCAATGGTCTATTACGGTTCTGATGAATGTGTTGAACAAATATTTGCTTATTGTTTTCCTTTTCTTTGTTCTTGTATGTAAAAGTAATTTCGGGTATTATCTTTGCTTGTTATCCAAGAAAAATGTGATTAATGCGTGACCTGCTTTAATTATTAATTAGACATTAATTATGACACTAAAATTAGATAATAAATTTGAGTGCAAGCATTAGTATGTTGTTTTATGGAGGTTAAGCTAATCCCGTGCTTCCCTGTTTTCAAGGCGTAACAAAAGGTCAACCTTTTCGGCTATCCTAGTTCAGAGATTCCATTTTTCGTTATAATTCTCTGACACTCGTTTGTTATAGGTACCGCGGTTTTCGTGATTTATTGTTGTTTCTGAGATAATATCGTTTCTTATAAACTTTGACGTTCGAACTCATAATGTTGTCGTTTTAGAACTGCTGTCTCTTTCTATTACAACCACCATTCAGTCTGAGCTTTGTGCGACAAATAACATCTCTCTATATCTCAATGCAAAAGCCCTGAGAATATATAACCTGGATTGTGTCCGCTTTTCGTTGCTTTAGAAAAAAGGTCCTCCGAGTAAAGATTGAATTAATTTGCTGAGCAACAGCTATAGGCCTCATTTATTTTATCGATTCGAGTTTTATAAAAAGTTCTAAGAAATAATTACATCTAATTTTTTTGTTACAGTAAAAATCTCTCACATAAAGTCACATCTCAACTCGAATTAAAAACTCGAATCGGCGAACTAAACGGGTCCATAGTTTCTTTTTTCATGTGACTTTTAGGCCCCATTCATTTTATCGATTCGAGTTTTATTATAGTAAAAAACTCTCAGAAACAGTCACATTTAACTTTTTTACTATAATAAAAAACTCTCATTAAAGTCACATCTCAACTCAAATTAAAAATTCAAATTAACGAACTAAACGGACCTTAATAGAGATAAACAGATGGGAAAACTTGTAAAATAAGAGAGGAGGCTCAAAGCTATAATAAAGAAAATGTAAAAGTTACCAAAAACAAAAAGAAAGCTTGGCACAGGCTTGTAAGACAAAATTAAAGTTGAAAAATATATTTTATGATATATATGCATGCAAGATGATGAAATGGTCTATAAATAGCTTGGCAAAGGCTTGACTGAGAGTTGTAGAACAAACAATACACTTATATATTGAGAAATCAAGGATATGGAAGTTTTTGAGTGGAAATATTTATTAATGTTGAAATAATATTTCACACACAATATAATTTCACCTATTTTAGGATTTAATTAGTATAGGAGTTTATTATTTTTAGTTTGACTCATTCAAGATTATAAGAATAACTTCTTAATTACAATCCCTTGGTACAAGAAAAAACCTTTTGATTCTAATTAGAACAGTAAATTATATTTTCTTGTGAATTTGGGAAATTTAGGTTGATTTAAAATTGCGGCTGAACTCAGTGAATTTTGTCGATTTGCCTACATACCCTGTTAAGGGATCAAGTCACTTGTAGTTCGAATTTTGGGTTTGAGAATTTTAGATAATTCCTCAGTGTATGACCTTATGA